GGGCTGCCATTTTCTTAACGTTTGCTGTCAATTGTCCTTCAGCGTGTCTGACGGCAAAAGTTTTTAATTTTTATCAAAGATTTTCGGCGCAGTTTTTAATGAAATTTCTGTCGCTGGGCAGACGCCCGAAAAGGATTCGCCCGCTCGCCGCGCATAATTTGCATAAATTTTTTTTTATTTTTCATTTTTTGCGGCAGCCATTTTTAATTTGTGATTTTCCTTGCGAGTGTCCTTAAGGCAGCTTTTCCGGCAACTTTTGTGTGCGGTTTTAATTAAAGTAATTTATGAGCGTGCTCCGATCGTGGCTGCTGTTTACTTAAAGCTGGGCAAATCATTTTAATTGCTTTGCGATTTTCTTTACTTTTTTTGCAGCAGCAGCAGCAGCATCAGTGCCACGCCCACTCGAGACCAGCCACAGCTTTGTTGTCGATGGTGTGCGGCGATAATAATTACACGTCACGCTGCCACGCAATCAAAACATTATTTGTGCAAAATCACGGAGCTGAACTGAAGCGGAAGTGATGAAGGACTTCAGCACTTATTGGCTGCACGCGTCCTCGACAACGACGACGACGACGAGGACGACTTTGTCCGCCGCCGCCGCACCAAAAGAAAAAAGTTTAAACAATTTTTGTTGGCCTCAGCCGCACCCCATTTGCATTGCCGGCCCAGAGCCAAAGCCCGGCCAGGTCTAGAGTCAGCGCCAAAAACAGCACCGAAACCAAAGCCTGATGACGCCGCCCGACTCCCAACTCCCAACTCCCTGTTGTCCCTGGGGCCGCCACTTCGCGCGTGTAAAATTCAACGCAACGCGTGCGGTCACGTGGCGGGCGGGCAAACGGGCGGGCGGGCGCACAAACACGCCCACATGCATGATAGTCGCAATCGCTTTGCTGAGATTTCAACAAAAATCTGTGGCACGGCAACACATCGAACATCAGTCAAAAATGATTTCTGTCCAGTGCCAATCAACAAATGGCTGGCGGAAGAGGAAGAGCAGCGACTAACAACGCAAAATTGACGAAAATTATGTAAATTGTTTTCACATTTTGTAGCTGTGGTGCGGTGGAGGAGGAGGGGTAGAAGGGGGAGGGTTGTTAGCCAGCAAAAGGAGTGCGAAAATTTGCCTAAATGCTTTACAGCCAAACGGCGAAACAGAACATGGCAGGAGTCTGTGCCGCAGGGACAAACAGGGACAGCTCCAAACTGTTGCACACAAACAATGTGACAGAAACATGTGTTGCCACAATCAACAGCGGCAGATCCCAGCCTCGTGGCATGCAAATGCTGGGCTGCAACCCTTTGACAAGGCCCACAACATTTACAATTGACTGACGATATCAGACATTTTAATACTTCTGGCTGCCGCAGAGTAGCCTGATAGCTATACCAAGATAACAGAAAAATCTCGAATGAAAACAAGATATTAAGATATATTTACTATTTATACAAATGCTAGTTAAACAGATTTACTTAGGATCTTTACTCTTTAATTCAAATTCTGAAACCAAAAACATTTCCAGATATGGATGCCAATTTGATCTATAGGCCAAACCATGAAGAACGACCCAAACCTCGTGTAAATTGGATGCGATTTGGCCGCGTTATAGGGGTGGGCAATTTTGACCTATGTCCATATAGGATATTTGAGGGTACCATTTTAACAAGAATTTCGACTTTATATGCCATGTTGATCTAGAGGCCAAGCCATGAAGAAATAGCCAAACCGCATGCAAATCTGATGAGACTTGACCAAGTTATGGGGTGGAAACTTTCGATCTATGTCTATATAGGATATTTGAGGGTACCATTTCTAAATGAATTTCGACCAAAATTAATGTTGCCATATTTATATGCCAAATTGATTTAGAGGCCAAACCATGAACAAAAAGCCGAACCTTATAAAAATCGGTTGAGTTTTGACCGAGTTATGGAGGTGGGAAATTTTAACACATGTCTATATAGGATATTTGAGGGTACCATTTTCACATAAATGTCGACCAAAAATAATGTTCCCAGATTTAGATGCCAAATTGATTTAGAGGCCAAACCATAGAGAAAAAGCCAATCCTTGCAAAAATCGGATGAGATTTGACCGAGTTATGGGGGTGGGAAATTTTGACCTGTGCGGGAAATTTCGTCATATGTTGGCCTTACCCGTGGCAAGTTTACCCCGTCCGAAACCCCGTCTTAACGTAACTACAGTGAAAATTTCACCAATCAGTCAGTCAGTCAGTACAAACAGTTTTATATATAGAGATTAATAATTATGTCAAAATATTCTGTTTTCCAAGATATTTTCATCAAAGTCAGCATTTGCGAGCTTCATTATACTCACATATCTGTAAAACCGCAAGGCATATTAGTATTAAATCTTCGGCGTGCCGAAGATATCTTTACTTCCTCTAAATTAAACTTCAAGAAATTTGACATATTTTGTTTAAATATGTGAAGTATGCTGCAATTTTCTTACCTCCACTATAGAAATTTGATTGTTTGAGAATGAAATAACTCATATCCCTAAAACCCTAAAACTATGTGCCCTTAGGCTTGTAAATCTGTGCATTTACATAAAATGTTATCCTCATTGTAATAGGAGGACCAGATCAATATTATGATATTGTTACGCATTTGTTGTTTATTACTTCCTGCTTGCCACTATCCATTTCATATTTTTATTCTGTTTCCCACCAGCCAGGACATCCCCCAGCGAGCTGTCCACCCCCCTGCCAGGCTAAGCGACACACGTCCGCGGCAATAAAAGCGCAAACGTTTCAATTCCGTTGCGGCTGACAAATGCACATGAATTGCCGGCGAATCTGCCCCAAAAATATTATAATGATAAAAAAAAAATAAAAGGAGAACAGAAAAGAAACTTTATCTCGATGCCGTCGAGTGTTTTGATTTGTAACGTTTCTCACTTCATTATTATGCAATAAATTCACATGGCAAACTCACATAATGGGCATCGAGCGACATATCTCACATAGTTAGGGCTAAGGGCGAGTTTTCCGTATAGTTCGAGGGGGGTTGTTCCTTCGTCCCGTTGTTTCTGGCAACGGAAATAGAGCATCACGCTGGACGCTGAATATTTGCTAAAAGCAATGATGCTGAACATGACAAAGCGCCGATTTATTTAATATATTTCACACGAGTTTCCCAGTTAATGGAGGCAGTTCTTTGCCAAAAGCTCAACATTTTGGGTTGTAAAATTATCTGTGGCAACTTTTTGCTTGGCGTGTTGCCAACCACATGTATAAAGTTTTAACGGCAAGCTTTTGTCCATTTTGAATTTAAGCTTTAATGCGCGCCCAAAGTTTGAGCATGAGCTTTAAGTTTAGAGCACGATGTCACAAGCTTTTTGGATACTTCAATATTTATCTGAGTGCAGCTTTCATTCAACTAAATGTGAGTACCACCCGAAAGCATGCCCGGCAGCGCTGAAAGCTTCACAGAAATCAAACCCCCACCAAAAAAAAAAAAAAAGTTCGTAAAGACTCCAGTTGCAAAAACCCACCCCTTGTTGAACTTCGGTGAGAGCTGTCTGGAGCATAAAAGCTCTCATGTGTTGGCATGTAAGCTGCGCTCCGCTCATTTGTCGCAGCGCTCTCTCTTTCATTCTGTGGCTCTCTCGCACTCTCGCGCGCCGCATCGCGCCGAATGAGAAAAGCACAAAAGTGTGCTGTGTGTGACACAAAGAGGAGTGTCAGGCAGCATAAATTTCAGCATACAAAATTCCACACACAAGCGACGCGTCGCAGTCAAAACTTTTTCGGCGAGTTTTCCGCAGAAAATCCATAAAAATGAAAGAACCGAGTGTAAATATTCAATGAAAATTGATGCGCAAAAGTTCCTTTTTAGTGTTAAACCAAATGTGTAAATAAAAGTAAGCGGTAAATGCTATACGGCAAAAATTGTGCCGCAAAACAAATGTTTCTCGATTCCGGAATCTGAATAACGGAAAACGCGCTGCGACTGGAGGCACCACCGAGTGTGTGTGCCCAAGTGGGGCTGCGTATAAATCAAACAAGTTTCTATAAAAATGCGCACACGAAACCGTCGAAACGCTCGAACACAAAATGCCAAATGGGAAATGAAAATCATAAATAAAGCATAAATTATGTTTTTGGCAGCAGAAACAAAAATATTCCATACAAAAAAAAACGCCGCGCTACAAACGAAAATACAGATATATTTTGATTTTTTTTTTATAAATAGAAAAATCAATTTCGCACGCAGCGCGCACTCAAACACACACACACGCACTCATACAGGAGCAAACAGCAGCAGCAGCAGAGAGAGAGAGGCGGCGCTGGAGCTTGCTCTCGCTCTTGCTCTCCAAACGAGTGTGTTGGCTTCGGCAGTTTGGCGCCTCGCTGCCTGCCTCATTCGCCTGTCCATGTATGCTAGTGCGTATGTGTGTGTGTGTGTGTCTATTATAAACTTTACTGTGAGCAAGAGGCTGACGCTCTGCTTTGGTCAGCAGCGCGCTGCTTGGCTATGTGAGAATAATTGAATAAAATTCAAGTGTTTTTGTTGCATTATTTGTTGTGCTTATTATTGTTATTTGTTTAAATTAGCAACAACAACAGCAGCAACAACAACGCACGCGAGTGTTGAAAAATGTAAAACGCGCGCGTCTCAACTGCAACAGAATCTAAAACAGAAACAGAAGATACAACAATAACAACAACAAAAACAGCGAGAGAATTTGTATGGCAGAGCTGGAGCCAAACCCTTTTATGGGTTTTGTCGTGTCCTGTGCCGTGTGCATGTTTACAAATTGACGCTGTAAATTGAATTTATAGCTCGAACAGAGCGAAACAAGTGGTTGGGGGGGCGCAACACAGTGGGTCGACCGGGGGCCACAGTGTGGCCAGGCGGTGTGTGTCTACGGTATGTCGCTGGTACGCTGGTCCAAGGCAAAAAGTTAATTTCCGCTACTTTTCAAAGTTTTTTTTTTTTGCGCTTTCGTGTTTGGTTTGAACTAGAAATGGGGGTGGGTGGGCGTTTTACGCACGACGTCGACAGAGAAGAAGAAGAATGACGTTGTCGTCGATGTCGACAAATGAGTTGCTCGAGCAAGTGGCTAACGTGGAATGTTCCATTCTCGCAAATGTTTTTTATTATTCAATGTTGTTGTTGTTGTTGTCGATGCTGCTGTCGCATAAAAAACAATTTCGAAACGTGCAACAACAAACAGCAGCAGCAGCAGCAACAACAACAACTAGAGATCAAATAAATTAAATTTACACACATAGTTAAATTAGTGAAAATTGAATAAAACACAAGAAAGCACACACACACACATCAAAGAGAAGTGTGACAAAAACGTAAATAAAATAGAGGTATAAAAAGAGAGTGGGAAAGAGAGAGAGAGAGAAAGAAAGAAAGAGCGAGCAAGCGAGGGCAGCAGATACAGGTCGTCAGCAGACTACGCAGAACGTGTCGAGCAACAAATTAATAAAAATTTAAAAAAAAAGATTGAAAACAACCAAAAACAACAACAACAAGAAATACAACACACAACGCCAGCCTCAACCTCAACGTCAGCGTCAACGCCAACGTCAGCGACGCCGTCAACAACAGACGCAGCAGCCGCCGCAGCAGCAGCAGCAGCACAGTCAGAAAATGGGCTGTGGACAGAGCAAAATACATTTATATCCCAGGAAATCGAAGAGTAAAGCAAATGGCAAGAAAGGAGGACACGGTAAGCAGCAAATCAAAGGAGTCGCGGCTCCGCATGTGTGTGTGTGAGTGCGAGGCGTCTGCATATGTGTGATTGTGTCTATTTGCCTTGGCTACACTCACGCTCACACACAAATAACAAAAGCTTACACGCATGACGACATCAATTTGCCTGCAGATGTGTGTCTGTGTGTGTGGCTGTGTGTGTGTATAAGCCACCTGTTTTCACAATGAGGACATCATTGATTAATATGTCAGCAGCAGGTTAGGCCGTGCATTCACAAACTAAAGGACTAGGCTTATAACCAGCACACGCATGCATGCCGTAAATATAGCATATGTATGTGTGTGTGTGTGTGTGTGTGTGTATATATATATGCATGTGTGAGCTTATAATAAAACACTGAAAAATAAAATTGTTGCCCTAGCCTACATTCAAAACTTTCGGCAAAGCCCCGAGAGCCTTTTGTCATGTTGTTGCTGCTGCTTTTACAGCCTTTCACCAGAGAGTGGATGCAGGCATGTGTGTGTGTGTGTAATTAACTACTAAAAGGCAACTTGTTGTTGCAGTGGGCGCACCAGTTGAGTGGGTGTGGCCTCTTTGGGGCCCTTGTCTCTGTTTGTATATGTGCTTGAATGTGTGCGTGTGTGTGGGTGTTTGGGCTGCGTTCAAAATGGGTTAACAAAAGTGTAGCATACACAAAGGCGCCATTGTGCCATAAAAGGCCCCGATTCTGTTGGTCCTAGGTTCGTCAGGCTCACGCCTCTTTGGACTGCCTGGATTAATTATAAAGTTTTTCATTCATATCGTATTTCGACGAATTTGCATTAAAATGCATAACTCGTCTTAATTAAATTTGCACAGGCCTAAATGAATGAGCACATCAGAAGGTTGGGAAACTGTGGACGCAGGCTTTAAGAACTTGGGAGATATGATGTCTTAGTTAATAACACCAAAGTTTAAATACCCTTGCAGACATGCGGCTGATGTAATGTAATGTTTGTAAACAAAGGCCTTACTTTCGAGCGATTCTTCCTTTAAAGCCATATAATATAGCATTCCGATTGGAAACGACTTTAGAGATAAATTGGGATATTTTTCCATTCATTATTCGACGGATTTTCCATATAGAATTATACGATAAAGTAGTCTAATGTAACATATTTTTTGACAAAATTATAAAAAATTCGATCAACTTAATGCTTGGGTTTCAATTTAAGGCAGATGATAAACATCATAAATAAGTTTAAAATATGGCAATAATATCGTCTCTTAGCTAAATTGACGATATTGACTTGAATATGCTTTCACATACCACGAACAATACTTATCTGAGTTCGTAAATTGTTGTTCTACTTTTCTACGACTTCTTCAAATGTACTTTGAGCACTCTCTACGGCATTTCATGAAGTGGCCCCTTCCTCCCACATACCAACAGAGCAACATTTTATTGCTTTAGTTTTCCACTTATTTGCCAAAATAGCCGCCTACTTACATATTGTTTGTACCCTCTCAATCTCTGTGCCCTTAGCCGATTCGGATGCGGAGACGGACGAGGATGAAGGCCACATTGAGGATGCGGAGAAGGCGCAGCAACGTGAGCGCGAGAAGAATGACGAGACCGAGGAGCAAAGCAATAAGGATATACAGGACACCGAGGAGGACGTGGCCGTGTCGCTGCTGCGTGCCAAAAACCTGTCGCTGCTGCAAAGCCAGTAAGTAGCAAGTCACATGTGCCTCACGTGGCAACACCCACGCCCCACCCCTAAATCCATCCAAACTAAAACTGCCTGCACCTTGCAGAGAAATATCATCAAGCCAACAGAATTTCTTTCGCATGCTGGACAAGAAGATCGACGAGGTGAGCCGCCCAACACAATTAAAGACAAGGACCTGAACTAACGTAATTCCATTTGCAGGGTCCCGACTATGACTCGGCCAGCGAGACGGAAATCGCCTTGGAGGAGGCACGACTGAATGCACTGGTGCAGCATTGGGAGTCCGCTAGCCTGACCGCATCCATATGCTCCTCCGCCAGCCGGTCGCTGCAGACGACGCCAATACGTCAGGTGGTGCAGGTGCCGAACAAGACGAGAGCCGCAGCCGGCAGCAGCGGCCCCGCTGCCCATCTGCTGCAGCCCGCGGCGGCTTGCAGCACGGTGCCCACGACGGAGTATCTACCTCAGCACGTCATGGCGGGGCGACAGCAACAGCAACATCAGGCGGCAACTCTCTACCAGCAGCAGCAGCAGCTAATCCTCACGCAGCAGCTTCTGCCGCAGCTCGATGCCAATCTCGTCAATACGTCCAATGCCAATGCAGCAGCCGCCGCGCAACTCAATCAGCTGCAACAGCAGCAGCAACAGCAACTGGTTCTCTACCAGCAGCAGCAACAAAAACAACAGCAGCAACAACAACAACAGCAGCAACAACAACAACAGCAACAACTGGCTGCTTATGGCGGCCACCTGCTGACGCTACCCGCCGGCGGGAAGCCGCAAAGCGTCAGCCCCAAGCGGATGTTGTATGGCGCCGCACCCTCGCCGCCAATAAGCGCCGCTCCTGTTCAGTACATTGCCACCAACTCGCCGCTCATGCAGACTGGCGTGACGGGCTTCCTAAATGGCGCCGGCGCAACAGCTGGACGCGCACCCTTGCAGCTGTCCTACTACGGAGTACCGAGCACTGCCCCCCAAAGTGCCGCCCAACAAGCAGCCTCAGTTCCCATCGCCTCCGAATCTTACGAAACACAAACCGCTCCACACAGCCAAAGCCAGCAGCAGCAACAGTTGCAGCCGCAAACGTCGCAGCTGCAACAACCGCCAAATGCAGCCGGCGCCTACTACGGCGAGGTCATGCACACTGTGCAGGTGAGTGGGCGGGGCAATGAGAGGGCAAATTTGTACCATAAAAGGGAATGGAGGTTTAAATTATAAATAGGTTTATACTGAGGCTAGTTAGCAGTTCGCTCTTGATATTACTTTATAAGTAAGGATAGGAGAAGTCTCCGACCCCATAAAGTATACATATTCCGTGTCGGTATCAACAGACGAGTTGATATAGTCATGTCCGCCTGTCTGTCCATCCGTTTGTACGTATGTATGAACTTGTCGATCCCAGAACCTACACGAGTTACAGACTTGTCTGTTTCTATTCAAACCAGTCTCTCATTTGTAAAGCTATCGTCTTGAACTATACCATAGTTCTGTTTTTCTGCTGCAGGCAATACATATGCCCGAACTGGGCTGATCGTATCACTATAGAGTTTCCATAGGAATGATCTATTGAAAAGTAAATTGAAAAACCGAAAACTTTTTTATCAAAATATCTTGAACAAACTTGATATTACAAATTGTACTATGCTCCTAACATATGAGAAAAATCTTAGCAACATCTGACTACCTTTCCATATAGAAGATATCGAAGAATCAGTCGAATGAGTTTTCAGATGGAAAACCTATGTTTTTTTAAGAATAATCTTAAACGAACTCATCAATTATGAGCTTGACTATGCTACTAATACATCTGCACAGTCGCAACCAATCGGACCACTATAGACATTCGTCCAGATTTAAAACTATCCGATAAAAGCCTTCTTTCTTGCATATAATGATGTCCATGATTTTTCGTAATTGAAATCAATATAACTGCATTCAATGTTGGTCCTATGAAATCTTTAGGAATCTCAAAATCTGAAACCCTTATTCATCTAACAGTCCGTCCCTCTATCTATATGATCCCAGCGAACTCGCAGACTAGAATAGCTAGAGACACCAAATAAGCTGTACTACAATCTATATTATATTCAATTTTATAATCCCAATACAATAAATCTATCTGTCTTGTTTTAGCAGCCCGCGCCACCAACGGAATATAAATTTCCGCCGGCCATCAGCGTGCAGAGATTGGCGCCTCAGGTGCAGCGGCAGCTGCGCGAGACGCAGGAACTTATAAAAGACTCGTGCCCGCAGCTGTATGCGGCGGGCTATGGCAGCCCAGGACCACCGATACGCAATCCCAACAGAAATCCAACTAGAACTAGACCCACCCTGGAGACGCAGTTCTCGCAGGAACTCTCGTGATATCTATATATGTAAACAGCAGGCAGAATCGTAGCAAACCAAACACAACATAATTAGTCAACTGCGCCAAAGAAACAAAAATTAAGCAAAATTAACGCAAAAAAAAAAACAATTAAATTTAACTAGAAAAAAAAATATTTAAAAAAAAGCGAAAAAAAAATCGATAAAAATTGTAAAACTGCACTCAATGTTTCAGTACTCCCCCCGAAAACTTAGAAGAGCAACAACAACTACTAATACTACTGAAAATTATGCGAATCAGGAAATAAATTGCATTATAACTATATATATATACATATATATATAAATATGTAAAACCCGAGTAATCAGCAGGCAGCCAAAAAATTCGAAAGATAGAAGGTTTAGTATGAGCCAGACAAATAGTTTAAGGATCGAGTATGAACACATAAAGCTATGTAATAAAAGTAAACACAAAGAAAAACCCGTTAGCACGTTACAAAGGCAACAAAGAAACACAAAACAAACATAAACAACAACAACAAAAATGACTTCTACATTCTCACAATTTTGTTAGTCATAATCATATTCACCGTGTAATTTTTAAAAATAAATTCTGTAAAATGTGTGAACTTAACAAATTTTGAAAAGAAAAGAAAACCAAAAAAAAAAAAAAAAAAATTGTAATACGAGTAACGTTGAAGCTAGAAAAGATCAATGTATCGATGAATGGATGGATGATAGCCACTGATTAAAGATCATTTATTGAATGATATATAATGTCGGTGATGCTGTCTAGTAATATTTGTATACTTTAGTTCTATTTATTATTATGATAATTTTGGATGTATAATAGTTTTTCTTATATAAAATATATATATATATATATTTAAAAATGAAAATAAAAGCAAATCAATTAAGTTTAGAAAAACCGAACCTCATTAATATAACAAATTGTGGAAAAGCGCCTGGAATCGTAAGTATAACACGGATGAGCTGAAACTCACATCTTACCGAAGACATCTTTGACTTTTTACCTCTAAGAAAAAACACTTGAATATTAAACCAAAAAATAATCCTTACTAAAATGGAATACAATTCAATTAAATTTCAGATTCTAGAGTGTGAAAGTAAATGGTTGGAGTTATTCAAAAAATGTTGTCAAAAGAAAAGAAAAATCGGTTCGATTTCAAGGATCTTTAGCTTATTACGTATAGCTTTTCATGAAAAGGGTTTTTGTTTTTTCATTATTGATTAAATGATTGAAAAGCTTCAACCCCTCATTAACTTTTACACTCTGGAAGTATAAATTTAGTGTCTTACAAAACTTGGTCGTAGCACTAATACAATTAAGCTGATGTTGAATGAACTCCTTTATTCATAAGTTGTAAATCAATTCATACGTTTACATATAATGGAATTATACATTTATTTTATTGTTATTTTTCTGGTATTGTTGTTGTTGTTGTTATCGTGAAAATTGTTGTGTAAGTTTCAGCTAAGCAATTAGACTAGTCACATAATATGGTTTAAGATGATATAATACGCATTTGATTCTAAGAAATTGACATAATATTTTGTTTGTCTCTGTGTCAGTGTCGCTTGGAGCATTGCAAATTACAACATTTTGCATTATAGATAGAATAGGGTTATTCGAGAATAGTGACAGAAATCAAATACGCTGGGGGCTCATAATAATAATAAGCTAAATGCCAAATGATGTTTGGCAAACGTTTGCCCAAATGTTTCGACTAAAACAATGCCTAATAACTACGTGTTAGATTTTATGATTTAATGTATATATAGAAACGAAAAAAGGAATTTATCAAATTGCAAGCGTATTTGATTCCAGTTTAAACCATATTATATTGCTAATATGTGTGTGTGGGCGGAGGAGATCTACACAAGTCTGGGACCTTAGAGTGTATCTAAGATTTAAATCTATACTCAAGTTTCTTACGCTGATGTGTATGTTTCTGTTCTGTGTCGGTGTGTGTGTGTGTGTGTCTCAATGTGTGTGTGTGTGTGTCTGTGTATGTGTGTTTACGTGAGTGCGTATGTGTGTCTTGGTGTTAGTGAGTAGGAAAGGAAATTTTATTTGAGCAAAAAGAACATAGACCAAGTAATACTAAGGTCCAGTTATTTTAGCTCGTACAATTTGGCTTTACGATATTTAGTTTTGTACGGGTAATGGTGGAGGCTGCATCACGTACGGCATCGCATACGGGGCTCGATAGGCGCTGGCCGGTATACTGGGTGCGCCTCCATTTAGGGACACCGTCGCCATGCTGCTGGACATGCTTGTATACTGTCCGTAGGCCTGGGGCTGCAAGGCAGCTGCACCGCCAACCGGCACCTGCTGCGGTTGTGGCTGTTGTTGTGGCTGCTGTTGCGGCGGCTGCTGCTGTTGCTGCTGCTGCTGCTGCTGCTGTTGTTGTTGCTGCTGTGCAATCGGTGGCGGAGGCATATTGAAGTTCAGGGCAAACCGAGAGCGTTTCTGTTCGATACCATAACCATAGCCAGCGGCGGCGGCTGCAGCTGCCTGAGCTGCGGCCAAATGTGCCGGCTGATGCTGCTGGACACCTGGTGCCGGTGACTTGGGCTCAAAGCAAGCAGCATTCGGATTGAAGCGCGAGAACTGCACCCCATTGGCCTGCTGTGACGGCTGCTGTTGCTGCTGCTGTTGTTGGTAGCCACCGCCCGGTGGACGATAACCAGCGCCTGGAGCAGGCGGCGAGGTGCGCGACGGCTTCTGATCGTAACGTGGCGGACCGCCTGGATTGTAGCCACCGGTGTTGCCGTTTCCATTTCTATGCATATTGTTATTGTTGTTCTGGTTGTTGCGATAGTTTCCAGCTCCACCCATTTGCGGATTGCGTCCCTGGTAGCCACCACTATTGCCGCGATATCCCATGCCGCCGCGCTTCTGATAACCACCGCTAGCGGCCATATTCATCAGCTTTGGATTAATAGTCTTAACAGAGAATAAACGATGTGAGTAAGATATAAAGATTATGGGGTTCCGGGTATTCCGGGTAAGCAGTACCTGATTGGCCTCGCGCAGCACCTGGATCAAATCATTGGCCTTGTTGGCATTGGAGTTCGTGAACAGGGTATAGGCTGTGCCTGTATTATTGGAGCGTCCGGTACGTCCGATGCGGTGCACATAATCCTCCGAGTTCGAAGGATAATCATAATTGATCACAAACTTGACATCGTCAACGTCTGTTTGAGGAATTTCGTTTTGAAAATTGAAGAAGTTATCAATATGTTAAACACATTTTCCAATTAATATGTTTGTTTGTTTTTTTTTTTTTGTTTCTCAATACATACTCAAGAACTATAAACAAAAACAGAAACTTATGTGTGTGTTTTTTTTTTGGTAACGTTATTAATCCATTCTTTTTTTTTTTTTTGGTTTTTTGTTAAACTTAAATAAGCACTTGAATAATCGATATTGTTTTATAATTTGTTTTGCATTGTTTTTTCTACATATTTATCGTTTTGATTTGAACAAAAATTTCGCCATCAATACTATTTAGCGTATATTAACAACTATACATCTTTGGCAAACAGATATATGTTTTTTCTATACTGCAGAAATGTGGACCTCGACCTTTGTGTTCTCATTTTAATGCTTTTTTGAAATACACAAATCTTTATTTATATATATTTACTTTTGTTTAAGCTTAATGCATACAAGAGACGGCTTGATTAAACTTAAGATGTAGGTTAGATAATAAGAATGTGATGAGAGGTTTTGCTAAGGATTTATTGGGTATGGATGAGGCAAGCGATTGATGAGGGATTGGTTGGGTCGGGTGCGTCTTTTAATGGTAATGGTGATCAAGAAGAGAGATTGGTAGGTGAGAGAGTTTGGTTGATAATTAGCCTAGTACTTACCCCGTGTGCGATCTATGATTAAATTAGATAGGGCTTACGTAATAAATGGTGTTACGGCTCTGTTGTTGTTGTTGTTTTTCGGTTGTAGCTGAGCTGTTGTAGATGTAGCCTGGTCGCGGAGCTTAAGTGATGAGAGTTCCGCGTTGCTAAAAACTTAAGAATTCAACCCTCAACTTGTATATAAAGCTTAACTTTTTCATTTTTTTTTTTTTTATCTGTTTTGTGTATACAACTTTTTGTTTTAACATTTAACTTTTTCTCTTGGTTTAGCTTTCTTTTTTCTTTATCATTATTCTTTTTTCTATTTTTTTTTTTTTTTGTTTGCCATATAAAAATCGAAGTCCATTTCAAAAAGTGCTGATGATATTTTTGTTCACACACAAATTTAGGTTTTATACATATAGGAGCGACGTAATATACAAATATACATAATAATACTTTAATGGTAAATACAAATAAACTACGAAATTAGGCATCAGTCAAAAATTTCTTGGCCGCAAAATTTAACTAAATATTTTCAACTCCGAATTACAAACTTAAAAAAATGTATTAAAAAAAAACGGAAATAGTTTACAACCCTTCAAAGTCAGTCTTTTAAAGAGCGTATCCAAGACAACTTTTAAACGATCTTTAAACATTAATATCATGTTTGTTTTTTTATTATTATTATTTAAGTTACTCGTATTTTGCTAGGCCATTGAGTCCTTGACTGACAGCAAATTGAATATGGTACGTTAGTTTACTTGACGAAGCACAACTAAAGAACTATTTAGAAAGGAGGGCAACAAACTAAAAATACAATAGTACACATATGTGAGAAAAAACTTCATATAACCAGCAAAATGCAGGGAGAACACATTCCCCTCATTATTTCGACCACACCATTTGTTGTTTGTTTTTTTTTTTTTAAAATAGCAAAAACTGAAAAGTAAAAACAAAAAAACAAAAGCTTCCCCGGGCGGAAGCTGCGGTAGGAAATGGGAGAAGAGCTAAAACATGCAATGTACAAATTAACCTGTAAATGCACAACGCTCAACTTATTCCCACTCGAATAGTGAGAGAAAACCGATTAAGTCAAAGAGTGAAATGTGAAAGCGAAAGCGAAGGAATAATGAGTAAGAGTAAGAGGCTGGTCGGTGTTGGCCGATTCATCGCTGACGGTCGCTGCCAGACGACGACGACGACGACGAATCAAATAATGAAACAAAACCATTTGGCATTTATTTTTTTTGGGCATGTTGTTGATCCACAGCAACACTTGCTCGGTTATTGGTTATGGAGCGCATCAAAAAAGACAACAGAGCAGCTAGCGTTAGCCAGCTACTGGCACAAAAGCTACGAAACACTCACCCAATCCGCGCGCAGCCACATCGGTGGCCACCAGTATGGAGTGGCGTCCATTACGGAAACTGGATAGAACAAAGTCGCGCTCCTGCTGCGACTTGTCGCCGTGTATGGCACATGCGCGCCAGCCCTGACGTGAAATATTGCGTGTTATCTCATCCACACGCTTCTTGGTCTCCACAAATATAATGGTCTTGGTCTCGTTCTCGCCAGAGATCTGGGTGAGCAGCTGTATCAGCTTGACAATCTTCTCGGACTCATCGCAGACATCAACAATCTGGAGTATATTGTGATTGGCGCTCAGCGATAGCGAGCCAATGTTGACCTGAATGTAATTGCTGAGAAACTCCTCGGCCAGCTGGCGCACCTCCTTTGGCCATGTGGCGGACCACATGAGTACCTGGCGATCGGGGCGTATCTGCTGCATTATTTTACGGATTTGTGGCTCAAAGCCCATGTCCAGCATGCGATCGGCCTCGTCCAACACAAGGTAAGTGCAGCGTTTTAGTGTAGTTGTGCCGCGCTCCAGAAAATCAATAAGGCGTCCCGGTGTCGCTATAACAATTTCGACGCCTCGCTCCAGATCCCGTGCCTGCTGGCCCTTGGGTGCGCCACCAAAAATGCAAGTGTTGCGCACCTGCGTATTGGAGCCAAACTCACTGGCCACCTGCTGTATCTGCTGGGCCAGCTCGCGTGTGGGGGCCAGCACTAGGGCAATGGGTCCATCTCCGCGCTCTAAACGCGGCTGATTGTTAATGTGGACTACGGCGGGCAGCACGTAGGCCAAAGTCTTGCCGGAGCCAGTTTGAGCCACAGCGACAAGATCACGTCCGCTTAAAGCGATGGGCATGCCCTGAGCCTGAATGGCTGTGGGCTTGGTAAAACCCTGCTTGCGAATCTCATTCATGACATAGTCAGGAAAGCCGCCCTCCTCAAACTCAATGCTGGGAGTGGGCACTTCATTGCCTTTAATGGTAATCTCGTTGCTGCTCAAAAACGTTTCCGTTTCGCCTTGTGTGCGAGCCAAAACGGAATCGCACGGCTTGTAGAAATTCTTGCGGAACGGGGTGAGCGACACCTCTGACCAAACAATTGACGGCAAATGAGCGCCATGAGTTGAGGTGCGATTACTGTTCTGACCACCGCCAAATCCGCCACCGTCGCGTGCTCCTGGACCACCCATATTCATGCGACCGCCATTAAATCCACCACCGCCGCCGCCGGGTCCACCACGAATGTATGGAGCCGATCGATTGCGCTGGAACATTCCAGCACCTCCGCTGGCGCCCATGCGATTGTTGGGCATACCACCGGTTGGTGCACCTCCCATGTAACCATTTACCTGTCCGTTATACCTGGAACGAGCGTTGTGCGCCATTAATTTCAATTTTGAGCATCAAAAGCAGTTCCAAACGTTATTTTCTACTTTTCGATGTGATTTTCACTAGCTACTCTCCCTGCCATTTTGATTTATCGATTTTTAGCCAATGTTTAAGAAAATTTTCTTGCCCACCCGCCGCACACTCCTCGCCACATGTCAATTCGTACGCCAAAATTCTCTTAAAAATGATGTGCCCCCATTGAAATTTTTATATTACTTACATGTTCATCTTTATCAGCACTTGAATTGCACAATTATTTGCCAAATATTATATCTTTTTTCACTTTTTTTTGCAATTTTCACTTCACCTTACAATTTTCCAGGTTTTGCACCTACGTCAGTATTAGAGATGAAAGAAACTGTAGGGTTATTCATGCTTCGTGTCGAACATTCTCGATAGTTTTAAATCAAAGCAACTCTGTTAGACATATGTACGGTAACACTATTAATAGCAGAGTGACACTATCGATTCAATTGTTGCAGCAAATCGAATTTAACATTGAATTTTCACAATTTTTTTAATTTTAATATTAATATTATAATCGCAATATCAATATTGTCTGTCTGTACGCTACTTAATTTTTGTTAAACTGAATACATATTTTATTTGTATTGTGATTACAAACTCACGGAAAATACGCATACTATCATCCCAACATGAGTTCGAAGTCATTTTGAATAGTTTAAATAAATATGCGCACCAGCTATAAAAAGAATCGTCCATTTGATTTCAAGCTTATTGATCATGTCGAGCCTAATACCGTATTGTATAAGCGCCAGACGGGGCTTTCGAATTATGATGTTATGAAAGTCAAATCGGAAATCTGGTCCAACATAGCAGAGATTATGGATTGCGATGGTAATTTTTGGTGTCCCCTCTTCAACCTGCCTTAACGATTCTGACCCTTTCAGTGGATTTCTGCCTAATGCGCTGGAACAATTTACACTACCAGTATCGAAAGGAATCACGGCGACCCGGCGGTTCGACATGGCCATATTTTAAGCGACTACAATTTTTGTCGGGTGTGCCATCGCGACCCAAAGCCAAGCACACGGCGCAGTGTACGGATAAATCGCAGACTGCGGAGGTGAGAAAAGAATCTTCTGTGGATCAGGATGCGTGGCAGTCGTACGATGATTGCGTGGTGATGCATGTCAGCGATATGGAGCACAATGCAGACTCATTTATTATTGAGGAAATCATTGAGCAAAATGATCAAATCTTGCAAGAAGAGATTATTTACGAGGAAGACGATGCGGTGGAGGAGGAGCATCTTCAACCAGACTTCGAACCTTCATCAAAAGGAACGTCGCGTTCCGCCGTGGAAGCATCATCGCCTGCAAGTGATTATCTCAAAATGAGCAGAATTCTCGAGCAACTCAAGGGCAACCAAAAGGTACGAGCGGAACGCCGTATCATGGCTTTCGTGCTCAAGTGCCAGCTGAGAGCACTGGTGGACGAGCCAATCGACGATCTGGTAGTTTGAATCTTAGGCTTAGAAGTGTATATAGACTTTAATAAACAAACTAAAAGAACATTTTCTATGCATCAACTTTACACTTGTCCAGATCGAGCCAAGCAACGTTAGGCTTCGTTATGAACTGTTCCCGAGTTAAGCTATCCAACATAAGCGCCTGTTTGCGTACATACTTGACTAGCCGTTCAATTTTAGCATAGTCTTCGCAGTCCATTTCTAAAAAGCGACGCCATAGAGCACAGGCCAGAATTCGGTCATCGGACATGATGCCCTCGTCGTAGGCAATAAGCGCCGCCTGAAATTGCTCCGACAGGGTCTCGATTTGCTTTCTCGTACGTGAGGGATTATTGGCCTGAAAAACAATAGAGAAAATAAACAACGCACTACGATGCGCTTCAACACTTACTCCCAGTTTTTTGGCGCGTGTATTCACATCTCCCCACATGGCCTCCACAATACAATTGCGCAGAAAGCGCCCATCCTCGCCGGCTTCTGAACCTTCGGCCATGGAGCGCATCATCAGCAACCACACATGCAGCTCAGTGACCAGGAACCAGGAGTTGAAAGTGTTTGGCAGATTAAAATCGCGAAAGAAGGCAACGTAGTTGATCTTGTCCGCTACACTCTCGTACAGCAGATGGCTGGTAACCTTCAGGCGCTGCAATGGATTAAATCATAAGAGCTGTGTCTAAGAGTTTTCTATTTGCACAGAACTCACGGCTTTTGTATTGGGCATAAATCCGACTTTGGTCAGAACACGTTTTAATATGCTGCCATCTTCCGTTGTCTGTTTTGCCGCTTTGCCGGGACTGTCCACAACGCCGGTGGAGCAGAGTCTGCATTGGTCGGTAAATCTAGCTGCCACAGCCGCCGCCACCGCATGATGTTTATATATTTGTTGCGCTGCCTGTAGAATAAAAACAAACGTCAGTGTGGTTTATATAAGAGTGGCTGGTGCAATTGCAGGCAGCCCCATAATCGGGCAATTAAATTTAGCAATTTCAATGTGTTCACATACCAATCCTGATGCGGTTAAGCCACCCGCAAGCCTCGCTGCTGCGCGAGTGCACAACATGCTTTAATTAAACCGTATTTTAATTGTTTAAACCAAGACGCAATGTTCCAGCAACATGCAGTGCTGCCAACTCGTCAAAAAATAGTCAGTCAACCGCTGATTTAACAGAGCCGCCAGCTAGCAGCTGGCTTAGCAGAGCTGCTCAGCACCGCCAGCAAACAGCTGATTTAACAGAATGACTCCACAGTTATGAGAAAAGTGTGTTAAACCGGGTCGCTGCTTCTGTCGTGAAATTATAAAACTTCAATTAATTAAAAATACATAAATAATGCTTCGTTTGAGTGCACAAATATGCAAGCAAAGCTTTGCACTGCAACGCCTGCCTGGCAGCACAAACAGAATACCCACCATCAGGCTGCAGCTGGTCACAAGAAAGATGACACAACAGCATCAAAAACTTGAATGGACAACGAGTATTCCGATTGGCAACAAGGACAAGGATAAAATCACAGCGCTAGGTTGGTTCCTACTCGTAAGTAGCTTTATGTATTAGAAATTTCTTTTACTAAGTGCCCTGTGTAGCTCATACCCGCCACCACATTTGGCCTGGGCGTGTGGCAGGTGAAGCGTAAAATCTGGAAGGAACAGCTAATTAAGGAATTGGATAAGCAGCTGCACATGCCGCCGGTGAATCTACCCGATGAGTATGCCCAAATGCTGGCAGCTTAACCTTTTACTCCCAGTTGTGACTGTTTTACTTTGCCCCAGCTTGAGCCAGTTGGCGCAAATGGAATATCGTTTGGTCACCCTGCGTGGGAGATTTCTGCATGACAAGGAGATGTTGATGGGACCACGCTCACTGATACGACCAGATGGTGTGGAAACGCAAGGTGGTCTCTTCTCTCAGCGCGATTCAGGCAATGGCTACCTCGTCATAACTCCGTTCCAGTTGGCTGACAGGGAGTGAGTCGTACAAATATTATGCCTAATACCATCTGCTGTAATTCCCAACTCCTACGCGAATTTCCCACAGTGACATTGTTCTCGTAAACCGAGGCTGGATCTCGCGGAAGAATGTGGAACAGGAGAAACGTGCCTTGGGCCAGAATCGAAATGAAGTGGAGCTGACGGCCGTCGTGCGCTCGGGCGAAAGTCGTCCCCAGTTTACGCCAGATCACAAGGATGGCCAAGTCTACCTCTATCGCGATTTGGGCAGAATGTGTGCGAGCTCTGGAGCTGAGCCCATCTTCCTCGATGCCGTTTACGATGCAAAAGCTGCACCCAATACTCCAATAGGCGGACAGACACGTGTCACGCTGCGCAACGATCATCTCTCTTATTTGGTTACCTGGTTCAGTTTATCGGCAGCAACTTCGTATCTTTGGTATCGCCAGATTGTTAGAAGAATACCGTTTTGAGATATCAATTTATGAAGTATTGTTGTTTATTTTATAAAATTTACATTAGTCGTGTAAATGTTTGTTTAATGATCAGATGGTACAGAAATGCGGATCCTGTATATAGTGCACTAACTGGGTGTCCGTTTGCAACGGCAATGTTTATATTTATATTGCAACTGGAACGACATTTGGTTGTAGGAATAGATATAGGAATACTTAGGCGTATCTAGCGAAATACTTGAACTATTTATATAAAAAAACACAAACATAAAGGCATATTTACACAGTTAGTCCCGTAAATACTGGAAAATGTTGACGACTTTAAGTCTTGCAGCCACGCCTAGACACGCCTACAGCTGCGGCACAATGCCCCACGAGCGAAGCAACCCGGCCCGCTGGTACTTTTTACCAATTGTCTGCACATGGAAGCCAATCTGCAGCAAACGCTCATGATCTAGAATTTTACGTCCATCGAATATGTATGCCGGTTTCATCATCGATTGATAGATGCGCTTGTAGTCCAGGTCCACAAACTCATCCCATTCCGTGCACAGCACCAGGGCGTGCGTGGCGCGCACTGCGCTGTACGGATCGCTGTGTATTTGGACCGCCTTCTTTACGTTCTCAGGAGATTCCGTTACGCTCGGATGCGTCAGATCGTCAATAATTTGCTCTGGCTCCACCTTGGGATCATAAATGTCTAGCTTAGCGCCCTCCTCCAGCAGCGTCTGGCACACGGTAATTGCCGCCGTTTCGCGCGTATCACCCGTGTTCTTTTTGAAGGCAAAGCCCAGAATGGCGATCCGCTTGTCCGACACTGTGTTGAACAGGCTCTCGATGATCTTCTGCGAGAAGCGTCGCTTCTGGTAGTCGTTCATGTCGATGACCTGCTGCCAATAGGCAGCCACTTCGGGCAAGTTCAGGTTCTCGCATATGTAGATCAGATTGAGTATGTCCTTCTGGAAGCAGCTGCCACCAAATCCCACGGAGGCTTGCAGAAACTTTGAGCCAATACGCGAGTCCAGGCCCACGGCACGCGCCACCTCCGACACATCAGCGCCGGTGGCTTCGCAGACCGCGGACAGCGAGTTGATGCTGGAGATGCGCTGCGCTAAAAATGCGTTGGCCGCCAGCTTGGAGAGTTCGCTGCTCCACGTATTGGTGGTCAGTATGTTCTTCTTTGGTATCCAGTGCTCATAGATCCACGACAGCTTCTCCACCGCCTGATGGCCCTCTGGCGTTTCCTCGCCGCCAATCAAAACGCGATCCGCATTCAGCAAATCGTTGATGGCCGTGCCCTCGGCCAGAAACTCCGGATTAGAGAGTATATCATAGTGTATGCCGGGCTTCTGATTTGCCCGCAATATATGCATAATGCTTTCGGCGGCACGCACTGGCACCGTGCTCTTCTCGACAACGATTTTATTGGACTGCGCGATCTCTGCAATCATGCGTGCCGCACTCTCCACGTATTTCAGATCCGCGGCTCGACCTGAAAGTCAATGAAGTTGTTAGTTAATCGTTTTGCTGGACATAGGCAGAACTTACCCTTGCCACTGCCGCAGGTTTTCGTGGGCGTATTCACCGATATGAAGATGAGGTCGGCATCTTTTATGGCAGTTGTTATGTCCGTGGAGAAAAAGAGGTTCACATTGCGACACTTCTTGACCACCTCGTCGAGACCGGGCTGCGGGAAAAAATTTGTTATATATATTGATAAAATATATCTTTAGCTCGGCCCAGTTTCAGATAATTCGACCGTTCTGTAAACTGTTCTCTCGCCTGTGCTTGGTTTAAAGATAAGATAATTGGGTTTTTCTGTTCATTGAGGTAGTTTATTATATTTCTTATCTAACAAGCGAATGGTTTTTTTTTTATAGAAAAAGATATTGCACTAAATGAGGGGTAATTCTATATATATATATATATATATATGATTCTCTCATGATGTTTCGTTTATGCAATGTGCAATTTTTCAAACTCTACGAGCTTTGCATTTTAATCAGAATTGGGAGTTTGTTGAACCTGTTTACATGATAATTTATAGCAAAAAGAAATGAAAGTCGCTAATTGGGAAATGCTGCAGCAGAACGTAGAATAACAACGAGCAAGCAAATCTATTCGCCATAATTAAATCAATTTCTGTAGAAATACATCAGTTGAAGCGAAATTGTGGTAAACAAATTGAAGAGTAGCCGCTGCCTATAATGAACTCCTCCTATCTGTCCGCGCTGATAAGCGCAACAGACAAAAAGCAATTAGCGTATTTGCAAGCGTTAAAGAATTGCAACAACCAATTTGGCACCTGGGCAAATACATGCACAGAAACAAGAGACGTCGTCGCCGACATCAGCATTAACTATTCGTTTTTTTGTTTTGCTAATTGTTTTTTTTTATTTTTACAATGTTGCATCTACAACGCGATGATGCAACCTCTAACTGAAGTGGGCATAAATAAATAAATAAGATAGAACTCAAATTACGCCTTGGCCTAATGACAGATATTATTCTAAGAATAATATTTATTAATCATGGCCGGCGGAGTGGACGCAACCCGTTCTGAAGGCATTCAAGAATTGTTGAAAAATGTTGCTGTCAAGCCGCCCGCAGACCGTGAGTTTCACATTATCCAGCGCTGGCTGATAGCAGGCTTATCTGCCTCACAAGACGTAATGTGGCCTGATAAGGATTTGGGTAGTTAACTGGGGCGCGGACGGAAACGAGTCTGGGGAATCAAAAATAAAAGAAACGGAAATGCGACAACAAACAGAACAGCATAAAGAGAGCGCGAACGTTTTAGCGGCTTTCCCTGACTAGGTCAAATCGAATATGTTCGCAATCTTGTTAGCTAGTGTAATTATTTGGCACTCAATAAACATGTGAGTACGCGTATGTACTTGCGGATGAATGTGTGTGTGTGTGTGTGTGTGTGTGTGTGTGTGTGTGTGTGTGTGTGTGTGTGCCTTATGAATGACTAATGAATGTTCGTTTGCTCGGCAAGGGGGGGAGGGTTCACTTCTATTTGGGGGGAGAGTGACCATTGACCTTGCTGAGCACCTGCGATTCGCGATCCGCGACTGTCGGATGTACTCGATCTTCGCCGCAATCACACGCACATTTGTGCGTTTTAGGTGAGGGCAGGAAAGGTGCGCGTTGTATACAAATCAGTTTCTCAAACAGCCAGAGACGGTTGGGGAACTGGTTTGAGGTTTAGTGTGTTTTGGGAAAAGTAAGGGAGAGGGGGGGGACTGTGAAGTTGAATGCTGGGCTACTTGAAAACATGGGCATGAGAAGTTCATCGACGTTTTGGTATTGTCTGGCGATTGGTATGTGTATCTCTGATTGATGTGTTGTTTGTTTAGGATTTTTGGTTTTTATATTTTATAGCACGAAGCGCGATAGATCTCTAGCCCAGACACACACACACAAACACACACGCACACACACACATGGTCATGCATGGGCACAAGCATTATTTAAATGCAAATAAACACAGAAATGTGTGTGCACTCGGAAACATGATCATCCGGCCGCGTAGATATACAGCAATAACTTAAACTAACCTCATAGATGGGCAATTTCTCCGAATTCCACTGTGCGATTCTCTCGGCGCTTTTATCGACCAGCGTTATGGTAATATCTGGACACTTGAGCGCCATTACCGCACATGTCGGGCCGCCAACATAACCAGCGCCAATGCAGCAGACCTTCATTGTTGTTCAAATCGATTTTTACACACACACAATTAATTCAAAATAACGCCCGAATGTGCAGAACTACCGTCAATTTACGCTCGACAATTTTTTCAAACAACAATACATATGCACATAAATGTTTAATGCTTCCTCCACGGCGTCCGAATAACATCTGTTAACGAAACTTCCAATCAGACTGTAAAAAGCCAAAATGCTCAGTGCTGTTGGCGAACTGCGAGACACCCTCTACTCTTTTAAGTTTAAATAACGCTCTTTGGTGTGTAACATTTCTGTTTATGTCCTTGAAAACAAAATAATACTATTATCTAATATCAATATCCATATTAAGATGTTTTCGAGCAACCTGTTTGTAAAATATTTTAGCATAGAGTGATAAACGGAAAAGGTTTTGTATACTTTTGTATACGTATAAAAGTGCGCTTTGACCTTCTATCCACATATTACTCTTAATAACAAAGTCTGTATACTATATTTAAATATTAATCTAAGGAGTTAAAACATGCTTATCTCTCAAATAACATTTACTGGTAAAATTAGTGTTTGTTTGTCTAATGTTAAGTTAGCACAAATCTGTAAGCAACCGTGAACTAGCAGCCCACTCTGTTAACTAACACATCCGATATCGATTGTTTACGCTGTTAAAACAGTTGGCGCCGTCATTGAAAATCAACACAAAAACTGCCGTAGATACCTTTGAGTTTCCTTTTTTAAAGTGTTCATATAAAATGTCGATTGCCTTACTTTACAAATTTTAGACATCAGTATTTGGTTTAATATTTTGGTCAAAAATTTCGAATCTCCTCTTCTGGGCTAAAAAATCATGCTGCAGTTATTAAGTCTTATCAAAAACCCACGATTGTCGTACCAAGCAATTCCATCATTATCCAATGCGCGCTATCGTTATATGTCCGATAAAACCAAGAAGCCAGACGATGGCGATAAATGCGAACAGAAAGGTACAAAATAATTCAAATTAACGGAAAAACCAGTCGTTAATTTATGTTTGTAGCAGAAGTGAAGAAGCCCGATTGCAAAAGCGAACCGAAAGCTGAGAGCGATCCGAAAGCTGAGAACGAACCGAAAGCTGGTAGCGATCCGAAGAAGGCTGAATGCAAGAAGGATGCGCCACCCAAGAAGGACGAAACAGCGATTAGTGGCGGCGCCTCGTGCAAAGCTAAGAAGAAGCCGCCACCTTGTCCACCACCGCCTAAGGAGAAAAAACGGAAGCAGTTGAGCTGCGAAGAGTTGGTACTCAAACGTGAGGGATTGCAGAAAACAGAAGCCACCTGTCCCTCAAAAATATCCGGTGGCGGTCCAAAGTGTCCGTGTACACCCTGCCCCAAACCACGTAAGTCGGTCAACTCTTCTTTGAGAGCAATATTAAATAAAAGATATAATGAAAATCAATCAATGGTCATCTAGCGCCAGACTACAAGAATTCAAAGAAGTGGCAAAAGATCTCGATAATGGGTGGTCTGCCGCTGATTGCGATACTGACGGTCCTTGTGTTCACCTCACGCAAGGAAGAGGAGCGACCAGAATATAGGCACTGGTCGCACTTGTATCTGCGTGGATACAAGCCGTATTTCTTCAGAGACGGAAATACCACTGCATTCCATAATACTTTCTGGAATCCCTTGCCGCCAGATGGTTATGAGGATGAGATCGACGTTGAGGCCAATGGCAAGACCGTCGAAACGGATAAGGAAAGGGAGGATCGCTTGAAGGAATTCGGTGCCGTGCAGAAGCAATGGAAAAAGTATGATGGCAGGCGGGAGGCTGAAGCCAAAAAGAGGCAGGCTGCCGCTGAAAAGGAGGCCAAGCAGCAGCAGTCTCTGGCCGAGAAGGAAGAGAAGAAGCAAATGGCTGAAGCTGAAAAGGAACAAAAGCGACTAAACGCCGAAGCCGATAAGGAGCGCAAGCGACAGGAAGCCGAAGCTGCAAAGGAGAACAAGCGCCAGGAGGAGGAAATGAAAAAACAAGCAAAAGAAGAAGCCAAAAAAGTAGAATTCGCTTTCATTAAGTCCCGAACTGATGACGAAAAATAATTTCAAAATCAACATGTGATTAAATTCCTTTTTTAGTAGATGCTCTATTTATTTATTTCAAGCTAATAATTTGAATAAGGTACAAGGATAAGATAAAAAATCGTTAACATTTCCTGACATCCGGTACAATCTTGCACTCGGCGAAGGGATCGGCAGCCTTGGCTTCCTTCTTGGCGCAAGGCGGGCACTCGACACAGCAGATGTCATCCTTGGGCGTAGCTTTGAGTAGACCATTGATATTCTCGCCGGGCACAGGTTTCAAACGTGCGCCGGAGTCCACGCGTGACTGAACTACCTTGCCTTTCGGCTGGGCCTTGGGCAGCTGGTAGCTGGGCCCATCGCCCGGATTGGGACTACCCCAATATTCTTGGGGCACATCCCAAATGATCAGTGAGCCACCAGAGCTGCCAGTGACAAACATCTTGCCGCACGGACTGTACGCAGCGCTTATTACAGACGAGGCATGCTCCGATCCAACACCCACCACATCGCCGCTGTTGTAATCCCACAGCTTCACATGCAGATCGCTGCCAACGCTAACAAAAAAGTCGCCGGTGGCATTCATCGACAAACAGTTCACAGATGACTTCTTCGAGGCGGTCAGCTCGCGTATCAGTGCTCCATTGTACACCATCCAGTAGATGATTCTGCCATCCGAGCCACACGTGAGTATCTGTACTCCAGTCGGGATGTAAAGGACGGACATGAACTGCGTATTGGCAGTCACCACCTGTTTGCGGGTCATGCGACTGATATCCCAAATAACGCAGGAGCCGTCAGTGCAGGCGGAAATCACTTCAGTGTCCAGATAGTTGATGTCCAGCGAGGTAATGGGACCCGAGTGATCCTTCAGCACGCCGACTAGATCCTGACGATATGGCTCGATCTTCCACACACGCACCTGTCCCTCGATGCCGCCAGTTACGATGAAGCGGCCAGTAGATGCCACCGCCAGTGCACTACAACCTGAATGGAGTTCAAATTTGTGGGATTGGTTTAAGGATTACTGAACTACGAATTGAAGGCTTACCCTTATTATGAGCATTGGGTATGGCATACATGAGACGGCCAGTGATAGGCGTAAAGGCGCGTATGATGCCATCATTCCACACGGACACAATGCTGGTGCCATCCTGGGCGAAGCGCACCGCAGCGCAGAAAAAGTTGTACACCATGATGCGCAGCAGCTCCTGCTTTCGATTCGAGGACCAGATGCGTATGCTCTCATGGCCCGCGGTGGCAAAAACAGCTGCATAGTTTCTGAAAGAGTTGCAATTGGGTATTAAGGGATCAGGAGAGACCAGCTAGCTAGCTGAACCTACTTGGGAAATGTAATAAAATTGACTGCCTTGGCGTGGCATGTGCGCAGCAGCTTTAGTACCCAGGTTGATATATTCAGCATGTAAATCTCACTCGTGTCCGTGCAGATGTAGAATTTCTCTGGAGTGGAGCGCACAATCGAAGAGATGCGACCCGAAACGCGGGTTCTCTTCAACTGCAGAAAGACGGAAACGTATTTGACATTCAGTCAAGCCCAAAGACAATGACTTACCGTGCGTAAGTAGGGCCATGTGGGTCCCGGATACGCTCGGAAATTGATCAATGGTATCTCCGTGCGCTCCTCCACCAGCTCCACCTCACCATCGCCGGCACCAATTAGCAGGCGTCCCTCCTCCAGCACATATAGTGCACGCACGCCGTTCACATAGCGATTGCAATCGCGACCCGTGGGCTTGCGTGGATTATGTGTGCCAAAGGCGCCCAGTATACCGCTAGTTGAACCTGGTCGGGTCACATTGTCCCTGTCGCAGCAGTTGAGCACGATCTTCACAATATCGCCAGTGCTGGTTCCCAGATAGGCGTACTCATCCTTCTTATCGATACGGGCACAGTAGAACTGGCGCGACTTGCTAGCCAACTGGACATCCTGCACGTACAGCTTCTTCTGCTCACGTAGAATGCTCCACAGGCGCAGATGCCGATCGCCGGCGGTGAGAAAGAAATACGGATTGTTATGTAGCGGACGCACAGTGGATGCATTTCCAGAAATGGCGCGCGTGGCGGGCTGGCGGCAAATGGGCGTGCTGCAGGTGGAGAAGAACAGTTAAGAGAGCACAGATTGGTTGGGTAACAACTACATATTTACAATGACTGCATATCGAATACGATGACGGAACCATCGTCCTTTCCTCCAATGGAAATGACAAAGCGATCCTCGGCCGTAAAGCAAATGGCCTGTACTTTCACTTTGTGCAGATCGTGACGTCCAATCTCCTTGCGCGACTGATAATCCCACACGATGACGTAGCCGCGAAAGCCCATATGATTGACCTGACCGGAGGCGATATACTTGCCGCTCTTGCTGACATCCAGGCAGGATATGGTGTTTGTGTGTCCGGCAACGAAATCCTGTGTGTTCTTTTTGAAATCGGCAATAGCAATCTTGTTGCCTAGTGGAAATATGGCCGCCTGGGTAACGGGATGCTGACGCACGCCGTTCTCCACTTTGCCATTGAGGCCGAAAATTGCGCGCGGCTTTAGATGTTGGTATTCTTTAACCGCGGTTGCCATTATCATATAAAATATATATTTTGATTTTGTTTTTAACAGATTTCTATTATTGGAAATGCTACACCGACTGCTGACTGAATTTGAACAGCAACTGCTTATTTATTGTTTTAAAACCGGACTGAACGGAAATCTAGCTATCTAGTGCGTTTAAAAAAAAAAAAAAAAGAATCATAAACAAATAAATAAAAGTGCCTATAAACTTAATTCCTGCAACTGCGGTAAGTCCTAGAAAAAGAAGTGGGGATAACATGGCGGGCTTCACTCCATCGGCGTTAGAAACAAAAAGATCTGCGGACAATTTGGATATTTTTGGCCCTGAAGGAGAAGCTCCTGAATTCAAGAAATCAGCCATATCAGCAAAAATCGTCAACAAAGCGAATAAAACTGTAAAGCGTCAGACGCGTGCCAATAATAAAATTTTCTTTTGCGCCCAGGATCTGCCCATTCACACACATTTGTGTATGTATGTGTGTGCGTGTGTGTAGAGCCCGAAATACAAAAATCCCAAAAACTGGAAATGTCAATTGTGCATCGAACAGGCAGATAACCAACAGGTACCCAACGCATAAATGCTTCTATTCATATACAAAATATGCAAGTATGCGTGAATAGCAAGTCCAAAAATTTGTATGTTTATGCACACATGCCAACGCTTAGGTACCCTTACCAACGATAGCGAGCTAAAATGCAAGAATTCCGCATCGATGTGGCAAACCTTTTTATTATTTCATATTACTCGTCCCATCAAAAGGGAAAACAAATTTCTCCGACATTTCAGAAAAAATTGAATTTGTGCGCATTTTTGCTTGTGCGGACACATACACACACACACGCATTTAAACGATCACTAAACATTAAGAGAAAGAACATTGAGAGCACTGAGAGTAAGTGGGACTGAAATAAAAAACAGCGATGCCGTTCTATCGCACAAATCATATGGATGAGAGTAAGCCATAGCAGTTTCCTGTAGTGTGAGCAAATAAAAAGACAGCGACGCCTTTCTACCACACAAGTCATGTATTTCTTAAATATAAATTGGTTTATTTAATTGATTTATAGCTATGAAGTAGTAGCGGGAAGGTGGTGATAGCTATAAAATGAAAGATATACATATACTATTCTAGAAGCTACATGTCACGTTTAGTGACATTTACCATTTACCATTTACCCATTTTCAATGGGTTTAGGGTATAAAAAGTAGAGTTCACATTCATTAATACCCAAACTGATGCCGGAGAATAATTTCAAAATTGATCCTGTGATTAAATTCCATTTTTAGTAGATGCTCTTTTTATTTATTTTAATCAATTAACACTTCCTGACATCCGGTACAATCTTGCACTCGGCGAAGGGATCGGCAGCCTTGATTTCCTTTTTGGCGCAAGGCGGGCACTCGACACAGCAGATGTCATCCTTGGGCGTAGCTTTGAGTAGACCATTGATATTCTCGCCGGGCGCAGGTTTCAAACGTGTGCCGGAGTCCACGCGTGACTGAACAACCTTGGCTTTCGGCTGGGCCTTGGGCAGCTGGTAGCTGGGGCCATCGCCCGGATTGGGACTACCCCAATAATCCTGGGGCACATCCCAAATGATCAGAGAGCCATCCGTGCTGCCTGTGACAAACATCTTGCCGCACGGACTGTACGCAGCGCTTATTACAGACGAGGCATGCTCCGATCCAACACCCACCACATCGCCGCTGTTGTAATCCCACAGCTTCACCTGCAGATCGCTGCCAACGCTAACAAAAAAGTCGCCGGTGGCATTCATCGACAAACAGTTCACAGATGACTTCTTCGAGGCGGTCAGCTCGCGTATCAGTGCTCCATTGTACACCATCCAGTAGATGATTCTGCCATCCGAGCCACACGTGAGTATCTGTACTCCAGTCGGGATGTAAAGGACGGACATGAACTGCGTATTGGCAGTCACCACCTGTTTGCGGGTCATGCGACTGATATCCCAAATAACGCAGGAGCCGTCAGTGCAGGCGGAAATCACTTCAGTGTCCAGATAGTTGATGTCCAGCGAGGTAATGGGACCCGAGTGATCCTTCAGCACGCCGACTAGATCCTGACGATATGGCTCGATCTTCCACACACGCACCTGTCCCTCGATGCCGCCAGTTACGATGAAGCGGCCAGTAGATGCCACCGCCAGTGCACTACAACCTGAATGAAGTTCAAATTTGTGGGATTGGTTTAAGGATTACTGAACTACGAATTGAGGGCTTACCCTTATTATGAGCATTGGGTATCGCATAGATAAGACGGCCAGTGATGGGCGTAAAGGCGCGTATGATGCCATCATTCCACACGGACACAATGCTGGTGCCATCCTGGGCGAAGCGCACCGCAGCGCAGTTAAAGTTGTACACCATGATGCGCAGCAGCTCCTGCTTTCGATTCGAGGACCAGATGCGTATGCTCTCATGGCCCGCGGTGGCAAAAACAGCTGCATAGTTTCTGAAAGAGTTGCAATTGGGTATTAAGGGATCACGAGAGACCAGCTGCTAGCTGTTCCTACTTGGGAAATGTAATAAAATAGACTGCCTTGGCGTGGCATGTGCGCATCAGCTTTAGTACCCAGGTTGATATGTTCAGCATGTAAATCTCATTGGTGTCCGTGCATATGTAGAATTTCTCTGGAGTGGAGCGCACAAACGAAGAGATGCGACCCGAAACACGGGTTCTCTTCACCTGCAGAAAGACGGAATCGTATTTGACATTCAGTCAAGCCCAAAGACGATGACTTACCGTGCGCAAGTAGGGCCATGTAGGTCCAGGATACTCTCGGAAATTGATCAATGGTATCTCCGTGCGCTCCTCTACCAGCTCCACCCCACCATCGCCGGCACCAATTAGCAGGCGTCCCTCCTCCAGCACATATAGTGCACGCACGCCGTTCACATAGCGATTGCAATCGCGACCCGTGGGCTTGCGTGGATTATGTGTGCCAAAGGCGCCCAGTATACCGCTAGATGAACCTGGTCGGGTCACATTGTCCCTGTCGCAGCAGTTGAGCACGATCTTCACAATATCGCCAGTGCTGGTTCCCAGATAGGCGTACTCATCCTTCTTATCGATACGGGCACAGTAGAACTGGCGCGACTTGCTAGCCAACTGGACATCCTGCACGTACAGCTTCTTCTGCTCACGTAGAATGCTCCACAGGCGCAGATGACGATCGCCGGCGGTGAGAAAGAAATACGGATTGTTATGTAGCGGACGCACAGTGAGTGCATTTCCAGAAATGGCGCGTGACACAGGCTGGCGGCAAATGGGCGTGCTGCAGGTGGAGAAGAACAGTTAAGAGAGCACAGATTGGTTGGGTAACAACTACATATTTACAATGTCTTCATATCGAAAACAATGACGGAACCGTCGTCCTTTCCTCCAATGGAAATGACAAAGCGTTCCTCGGCCGTAAAGCAAATGGCCTGCACTTTCACTTTGTGCAGATCGTGACGTCCAATCTCCTTGCGCGACTCATAATCCCATACGATGACGTAGCCGCGAAAGCCCATATGATTGACCTGACCGGAGGCGATATACTTGCCACTCTTGCTGACATCCAGGCAGGATATGCTGTTTGTGTGTCCGGCAACAAACTCTTGTGTGTTCTTTTTGAAATCGGCAATGGCAATCTTGTTGCCTAGTGGAAATATGGCCGCCTGGGTAACGGGATGCTGACGCACCCCGTTCTCCACTTTGCCATTGAGGCCAAAAATTGCGCGCGGCTTTAGCTGTTGGTATTCTTTAACCGCGGTTGTCATTATATAAATAAAAATTTTTTTTACGATTTTTTTATTGGAAATGGATGCTAACAATATGAACATCAACTGCTTATTTATTGTTTGAAAATTAAGCAACCGTTGCCTGGAAGCCGTTTTAAAACAAGGTGGCAACGTCGTGCCTTTCATTTTGCTACTTTTTATAAAGGGATCAACGCTTCTATGCAAACGCCCGTAAACATAGCGTAAATTAGCATAACTCACCTTACTTAGAAAAGGGCTCGCAAACAGGCAGACGTGGTTGAACTAGGTGGCAACGCCGCAGAACAGCCGGCAAGTGTAATAGAATAACAACAAAAGCAAAAAGAAAAAGATTGCCTGTGTGTGTGTATATACCACTTATATATATGTACATAAATAGAACTATATAAGTTGCAGTCTTGTGCCGTTTTTACAGTTAGTCGGACAAACGGCTCTTGTGCTAATCAAATAAAAACCGACTTGACCCGAGCCAAAGAATAAAAACAAAAGCCATAGACCGTGCGATTGTGATTAATGTGCAAAATGCTGCGAATTCCGAACAATCGCGAGGGTTATTGTCTTCTGCCGCTGCTGCTGGCTTGCCTAATTGCGCAGTCAAGCAGCTTGGGCAGCTTTCGACTGGGCCGCCATGTGAATGGATTTCTGGGTGGACCGAGTAAAATTGCCACCCTGCAGCAATCAATGGATGTGGAGGATTTGTGGTTCGAGCAGCGTTTGGACCACCTCCAGCCGGACGACACACGCACCTGGCAACAGCGTTACTTTGTGAACGATGCATTTTACAGAAATGACAGTCATGCTCCGGTGTTTCTAATGATTGGCGGCGAGGGGGAGGCAACCAAGAAGTGGATGCATGAAGGCGCCTGGGTGCATTATGCCGAACACTTTGGTGCTCTCTGCATTCAGCTGGAGCATCGTTTCTATGGCAAGAGTCATCCGACCAGCGATCTGTCCACCAGCAACTTGGCTTATCTCAGCTCGGAGCAGGCGTTGGCCGACTTGGCCAACTTTGTTACGACCATGAAGACCAAATACAATATGGATGCAAAGCAGAAGTGGATTGCATTTGGCGGCTCTTATCCAGGCAGCTTGGCTGCCTGGGCGCGCGAGAAGTATCCGCATTTAATTGATGGCTCCATCAGCTCAAGTGGTCCGCTGCTGGCCCAGGTCGATTTTACCCAGTACTTCGAGGTGGTCAAGGCGTCGCTGGCCAGCTACAAGCCAGAATGCGTGGAGGCTGTGACGCGCGGCATTGCTCAGGTGGAGATACTGCTGAAGCACATGATTGGACAACGTAATCTCGATGAGAAATTCAAGTATGTAGCCCACTGCCCAACTGCGAATAGATAACTAAACAATGACCTTTCGCTTAGAACGTGCACGCCCCTTAAAGACTCGATTGAGAATCAATTGGACATATCGAATCTATTTGAAAATATTGCTGGCAACTTTGCCGGCGTGGTGCAGTACAACAAGGACAACAGTCCACATGCCAACATAACCATCGATGAGGTATGGAAACGCTGATCAGAGCTGCGCAGAAATTGTGTTAACATCCTCTGAATGCTTACAGATCTGTGATGTCATGATGAACACCACGATTGGACCGCCTGTGACACGTTTGGCAGCGGTTAATGACATGATGCTGAAGCAGTCCGAGTCCAAGTGCCTGGACTACAAGTACGACAAAATGATAGCCGATATGAAGAACGTTTCGTGGGACTCGGAGGCAGCGAAGGGCATGCGTCAATGGACCTACCAAACCTGCACTGAGTTTGGCTTCTATCAGACATCTGAAAACAAATCGGACACATTCGGCGATCGCTTTGGCGTTGACTTCTTCATACGTCAGTGCATGGACATATTCTCGGATCGTATGGACGGCAAATTCCTTGAGCAGGCTGTGGCCCAGACGAACAAGTACTATGGCGCCCTCAAGCCGGCGACCACACAGGTGCTGTACGTGCACGGTTCCATCGATCCATGGCACGCGCTGGGCTTGTATGTCTCGCCCAATGCCAACACGCCCACCATTTATATTGAAGGTAGAGTCCAGAGTTTCAAATCTGATGAAATTTGATGCTCATGCTGATAACTTTTACAGGCACCGCACACTGCGCCAACATGTACGAGCCGCTGAATAACGATCCACCACAGCTGAAGGCGGCGCGCAACAAGATACTCAAATATCTGGCCAAATTGCTGGATGAATATGCTAGCTTTGCAAGCTTCACCTGAATTTGAAGCAACCAAAAATGAAATGTGCAAACTAAGCTATAATGAAGTATACAAATACACATGTGCGAGTCTGGAAATATGAGATTTAGCTTTGTTTAATGTTTTGTGCATTCGACATGATATGCATGTTCGATTTTTATCCAAATTTCTTAGCTGTGCTTAGTCCTTCTTGGCCTGCTCCATCTTTTCATGGAAACGTTTCCAGTAGTATCTGACAGTGTTGTTCTGCAATATCTTTTCATCGACAAAGCGTATGGTCCATGTGGCCGTCAAGTAGATGAGGTCATATAAAAATGCCACCACCCGAAAGACGAACTTCTCGACCTGTTCCTTGCTGGGCAGATTGGCGGCTAGTTCCTGCAGCTGCTTAACTGCATCGTCAGCCATTTTATTGCCAGTAGGTCCATCACCTGATTGGCCAACCACTTTGCTCGACTCATTCGCCTTTGACGACGACGACGTCGACGATTTTGCCCCAACAGACGACTCTTCGTTGCCAATCTTGCCAGATTCTGTCACCGAAGGTGTCATAGGCGCCTGCGAAGCAACCTCGCCCGTCTTCTTGCCAAAGTTACCGTCGCGAGCGGGGTCACCTCCCACAGCAGCGGGCTGCGTCTGCGCATACGCAATCGGCTCATTGCCAGTAACACTTCCCAGACTCGTAGATTGACCCACGTTGCCAATTATGCCAGTCGGGCTGCTGCCGACCGATCCCTTAATCTTGTTATCGTCGCTAGCAAAATAGCGCACAAGTGGCCGGGAGTACGAATGCGACAAGCGTATATGGTTGTGCGCTACAATGGAATCTATGCAAATGTGATCCAAAGGATGTTAATCCGAATTTTCGCGATTCGCACTTACCAACAACGCCCTTGGCCGACAGCAGGGTTAGTGGAAGCTTTCCACGTTGACCGACCGAAATGATTGCCCTCAACATTTTGTTTATCTGAACCTCGGCTTCGAATTTGTATACTAGCGTCCTACACAATATTAAACAGAGCTATATTAACTACCTGAATATTATACAAATTTAAATGGTTTAGAAAATTAAAAAGCCTCGACCTACTTCGACAAAAGTTGACAGCAAAAGAAGGCACTTCTGATACAGGCACAAATTCTCCACAGTAGTAATGAACAGTGTTGTATAACGGCGCTTAAGCCCTGAAAGGACCCCACTACACGTGCTGATTATTGTTATTAATAATTGCTTGTTGGGCTGCCATTAAAGTTGTGGTTTGATTGTTTGTTGTAGTTTGTCTTTATTTAAGCTATTACTAAGAAAATTAGTAAAATTTCTAATTAAATGTAGAGGGCATACAAAAATTAGGCCCACGCGCACTCTTCTTCTAGTGCGCTAAGCTCTTGGCAAACTCTCGACAGTGTTATAAAACGTGGCCGAAAATGCATTGCGGAAAATCAAGGAAACCCGTTGAGACACGCACGTGCTCAAAAGTTCACTTGTTTTGCGCGATGCAATTTAGTCACATGAATTACTTTAATCTTAACTAAACGCAAAGTTAGCTGGCCACATTTATGGGCATTGGGAATTACATACATATGTATCTGGACAGCTATCTTTACCAAGCTCCTGGCGTCGTCTACTTTACACACTTGTTAAATTACATACAATACATGGATACGTATTTTAATTAGTTCACTTATAGCATTTTAACGGTTAACTTAATTAATTGCAGTTGGTTATTTGTTCCGAGACTGACTACTGGCAACAAAATCGGTTTATATATGTAAGTATATATCAAGAGCTTGTAAAGCGTTTTCAATTCTATCGCATATACTACATAGAGTATATACATAAAATTGTAGATTAATCAGATTATACATATAATGTCTTTATAGTTAATTAATTATAATGTAATGGAAATGTTTGCGCGTTTTCCTTTAATACTAAGACGCACTCTAAACTCGTATCGCAACTGATCTCCCCCCCCTTAGAACAGACCAATTTGTTTCAGATTGTTCTTGATGATGACATCGGTGACCGCATCAAATACAAATTTAACATTATTTGTATCTGTGGCACAGGTGAGATGCGTATAGATTTCTTTTTGGTCTTTTCGTTTGTTGAGATTTTCGAATTTCATGCGTATATAGTTGGCGGCCTCCTCAAAAGTATTGGAACCTGCAGAAGATACACAATTTTAATAATTCCGTTTTACTTTAGATTTCGTGTTGTCTTACCAGTGTATTCCGGAAAGCATATCGTAAGGGGAGATCGCTTGATTTTCTCTTCAAACAAATCCTTTTTGTTCAAGAAGAGTATTATAGACGTTTCCACAAACCATTTCGAATTGCATATGGAATCGAACAGTTTTAGTGATTCAATCATGCGATTCATTTCCTCATCCTCAGCCAAAACCAAGTCGTAGCCTGCAAGAAAAGAGATACAGATTAATACAATTTATTAAATAAACAGTTGCTAAGCCTTACCTGAAAGCGCCACACAGAAGATGATGGCCGTTACGCCCTCAAAGCAATGAATCCACTTCTTTCGTTCCGAACGCTGACCACCCACGTCAAAGAGTCTACATAGAGGAGGATAAGGGATTGTCAAAGCTGACCAAACAATTTAACGAAAAGAAGCTCACTTGAAGTGCAACTGTTTACAGCTGAAATGCGTCTCGATGATGCCGGTGGTCTTGACGCGCGTCCGCAGCACATCCTGCTGTGTGGGTATATAGTTGGGCTGCGCAATGCGGTCCAGCGAGTTCAGATAGTAGCCGGCCGAGTCGTTGAGCTGATATTCGCGCGAGCGTGAGAAGGATTGCTGCACACCGGCATCGGACCAGAGCTTCTTCATCAGCAGCACAATCTCCGGCAGCAGGATGCCCTCGTCCGCCGCCGAGGCGTGTGTGAAAAACTGGCGAGCAATGTCCGTTTTGCCAGGATCTGCAAACTCGATCTTTAGCCGGCCCATTGCGCGTATTATGACCATCAGGCTCTGTACAGTGTTGCTGTAGACGACGCGTCGATACTCCTCGCACTCCTCCTGTGAGTAGCCTGTCTCGTGGATGATCTTCATCTGTTTGACTATGGTCGATTTGCCCGATTCGCCGGCGCCTGCAATTGAACCAAAAACAAAACAACAATTACAATTGTGCAATTGTGCAAATGGGCGGATGTTGGCTCTAGTAGGCGTGACCTCTGTCAACCAGCAAACAATTGAATTTGTAATCGGGAATGGTCTGTGTCATGCGTAAAAAGCGCCAATGAATGAATGTATGACTGGAACAGCTTTCGGGGAGAAGTCAGCAGGCGCTGTTTGGCGCGACATTGTTGTTGTTGTTTTTCATTTTTTCATGAATGAATGGATGCCACAAATTGTTCAATTGTCTTTCGGTTCAAGAGGCCAAAAAGCTAGCTGCCTTCGTACGTGCTCAATTGCGCTGGTCACGATGTTGGTCATGTAATTTCGTAAGTAACTCAACTACTCGAATATATATAAAGTTATAGGAAATTGCAAATAATTGGCATTTTCAGTGTTTTATTTACTTCTTTATTTGTATATTGGGTAGAGTTTTCATATTTAACGGGAAAAGGTATGAATTTTTGACTGTGCATAACTCGGAGTCGCACGGTTCAAATGCTGAGTACCCTAAATTGATTGGGTAATTCGCATCAGCTTTAGATATACGTTAAAGAACCCTCTCCAATTTCCACCCCGCTCCTATACATTTCTTTGAGCCGGCGACATCTCGCTTCTTAGTTTGACGCTCCTACACTTAAAATTATTGTGTGTAATTCGTGCCAGCTTTGGATATATGTAAAAGTATCTGTTCCAATTACCACCCCGATTCTATGCATTCGCCTAATCACTTAGGCTGTGCCCTGATCTCCAGTCAGTCAGTGAGTCAGGACAAACTAATTCGTTTGTACAGATATTTTTATAATTTTTTTTCTATAATTAAAATCAGCTGTACTTTTTATTTGCCTGTTAACCAATTGCCTGCAGTTCATTGAACTCTCGCGACACACTCAAGATATCAAAAATTCGTACGAAATTTAAACATAACTTGTAAATAAATAAAAATGTCAAGCATTTTATGGAAGTACATAAAATATATACATATGTATGTACTTTAAAGCGAAAAGTAAACAAAAAGAATATGCTGACCACACACAGAAGTTGTTTTAACGATAAAAACTGATGTTACGTGTTTTCTAGTTTCCCCCCCATTAACAAAAAAATGTTAAAAAATTGATGTTTTTATCGCAGACTTTAGTTTTGTTAGCTACCGGTCTAAGTTTATAAAAGTTATAAAGCGATAGACGATGTCCACGATCGCAACAATGGCGCATTAAGGCAACATTATTTTTATTATTATATTTTTTGCAACATTCGATGCTTTTGTCGTTGTTGTTGTTGCATGGGTCTTTTTGGTGTGGTTGTGGGTCCATTCCCAGACAGAAAGAGCTTTGGCAGCGGAGAGGCAGACTGTGTTGATTAGGTAATTGCAAGAGCAGCTCGGCTTAGTACTTTCACTTTTCCAGTACTACCCGATCGCAACTCACGGCCCACCAATGTGGAATATGTGTATGTACATATATACATACATATACAAGTATGTATCTTTATTTTGCTTTTAACAATGCGTACTAATTTGGCAATAAAAACCATGTCGTTATAATAATGTAATGGCTTAAAAGACGGTCAGCTGGGCCATAATGGGGGCCCTTGGCAGGCTGAATATAAATTATGAAACATTCGATGTTCGAAGCTTGCCACCGAATAATAAAACAAAACAAAAGGCAAAAAAACAGTTGGCAACAATGGCAAAAAAAAGGTCAATTTAATAATAACAACAACATAGAGATATGCAGAAAAACACACACAGAGATAAATCGTGTATTCATTTATCAAGGAACCGTTAGCTGTGCCATAATAAGCGGTCAGTGCGAAGAAGAAGCAACCAGAAAGAGAGCCAAGAACTTTGCAAGGCGGTGAGTACAAAGCGGACAACGAGAACAGCAGCAAAAAGCTCATAATCATCATCGCTCATCATAATAATCAGCGGTATTAAAATTAACTTCATTAGTTCACACACACATACACGCAGCCACCGTCACCCTGGGCTACAGTTTGAGGCGTGTCGCACAACTCAACGCTATTTCTATGATTGCAGTTCCTGTGCAATTAGATACTTATGTATATACAAATATGTATATATACATATACATTGCCGGTGACTAAAGGCAAACACAGATTTGGACAGGAAAAGTTCACAGCAATCATTATTCCATAGCATTTCGCTCATTTTCTGACTGCATGACTAATCGTTATCGACTTTTATTAGCGCCGCCAAGCGGCTGACGACTGAACTTTAAGATAAGTGAAGTGAGAAAAGAAATGTGTTAATCAGACGTGCGAGCAGAGCTGGAAATAAACACTTAATCGTTGCAAAAATGACCATAGGAAATGTCCAACACACTCAAAGGGAATTTTATCGTAGTGCTCACATATATAGCTACCGTTAAGCCATTTAGAGAAGAAATCAGCGTTCGCTCAAAAATTTAGCTGAAAATAGCTGTTTAAAACTGACGCAAAGGTCATTTATTGATAATATTGATAAGGCGACAAATGAATTATGGCGACTGGCGACAAGAACAGCACATTAAGTACATTATATACGTACACCACATACGTATGTGTAAATGTGTGTGTGTGTGTTTATAAAATTCTTAAAAATTGTTGATTAAGTTGTTTGTGTTGACAGTTTGTGTTGGGTTTCAGGGGCTTCTCTTGCTGTCAGTGTTGGAATATTGTTTATGTGTGTGTGTTTGTGTGTCGATAAGTAATGGAACGCTTTATATGCTTGTTTATTTGTTAATTTATTTTTTACTTATATGCATATGTCTGAAGTGCCTGCATACATATGTACATATGTATGTATAAATGTAGTTAACTAATGCGACCAGCCAAGCCTCAAATGCAAATACAGTAAAAAAAAAATGACATTCCCCTGTCCTAAAGTGTTTATCAGTAAAGAAAGCTCCAAATTGCACTTTCAATTGAATGGCGTGTCAAAGGGTGGGAGGAGGCAGAGAGAGGGAGAGTGAAACCGACAGAAAATTAAGTGCCGTAATTTAACTGGAGAGGCTGCTGTCAGAGTAGGGTGCAATGGTCAGACAGCTGCTGCAACAATAGCAAAATTTTATTAAATCTACACAATAAAACGAGGCAATGTTGCGGCGGCTGCCAAAGCACAAGCATAAGCCAAACACACACACAAACACACACAGCTGCATTTGATGTGGGGGCCATTTATTTGCGCTAATATCGTTCACCCCACTTTAAATGTCAGTGTACAAGCAACAACAACAAGAGCCGCTGCCCCTACCAATTAGGTCTGCGCACAAGAGCGAGATGGAGAGAGGTAGAGACTGAGAGAGAGAGACAGCGCGCGTTGAATGCGGCTGGAATAATGAGCGTACGCAGGCGCAGCAGCCAGCGGCGGCAGAGATAATGCCATAGAAATGAAAACATAAACAAAACAACAACACAACAGCAACAACTAATACTATTGCATATGTGTGGATGTTTGTATGAACAATAAAATAAATACGAGCGCAAACGTTAACAACTGGTGCAAGGTGTTTTCTCATTGCCTGTGTTTGCCATAAGCTACACTACCCAACACTGGCCAACACATGCACAGTTCATGCGCTTGCCACTTTTGCTGTTTGCATTAAACGAGCAGCTGCAAATGCTGCAAAATTCTGTTTAAGCAGCTAAATTCTGTTACGAAAAGCTTATATTTAAAAATATTTCATAATAAATGATTAAATGTTCTTAGAAATATACAGTATCAACTTATACACTGTACATTTTATCCTACCCGTATTCATACAAAAATTTAATTCCTTGCTGATGGTTTCTATGGAAAATATTTGATATTGCGAAATATGACGAAATATATATATAGTGAAAATGAAACAAAGACCTAAAACAGTGACAATCACGGCTCAATCCATCTACCGATGCTAAGCTGTCGTTACATATCATGTGACACAGCTAAAATACCCACTGCAAGGGTATACAAATGAATATAACGACTTCTAGGAGCTTCTGGCTGTGGTCGAAGCAGATTTTTTGTTGACGAGTGTTGTGAATTCATTTCGCGCAAATATCATTTAACTGGCATGTCGAATGTACTCCGCGCACCCCCCGCTGCGATCATTAACCGCTCGTCAGCCCCTTTTGAGTCATCAGCGAGCGAACGGGGCGCCGCTTCATTAGCAAAAGCCTCCGAGTGCAATAGTTGTTGTTGCTGTTGACTGCTACTTGAAAAGCTGGAAAACCCATTGCATTGTTTGCAACATTGAATGAATGAAAAGTGGGCTCGAAATGAGCACTCACAGATATTTTCTCGGCTTGCTGTTTGCCTAGAAATTTAATTGCAAAAGGCCAAAAACGCGAAGCGACGCGGCGTCCAATTTCACTGCGCAAGCGCTCTGCTAGTGGCAGAGGTCAAAGTTGAAATAATGGCGTCGAAACGCCTCAATGCACATTTCTCACCAAAGAAACGCAACAGCAAGTGCCACTCATTACACACACACACACACACACACACACATACGTATATACATACGTCTTCTTCTTTTGTATATGTAAAAAGAACCGCAGCACAAACATGTTTCCATTGGCAAGCCGATTGATGGCGCCCCACTTGTTGGAGCCGCCGCAGCCGACATTTGGTTTCAATTTACTTTCAATTTCTTATCGCAATCGAATTATTAGACATGTGCATTGCATAATGCCAGACCACTGCCAAAGATGAATCGAGCATCGAGTTTCGATTCGATTAAAAAAAAAAAATTAAAAATAACAGCGTTTAGTCAGGCGAGTTAAATAAGCCCGAATTGCAACGGCTTTCATCCAATGGCAAAAACCCACCCCACTGGAAAGTAGTTCACCAATATTTGTACATGGCGTCGCAATTTTGGTCACCGACTAAAGGCCTTAGTTAATGCTTAGGAAAGTTGGAAAGTTCTGAGAGACGCACCTAAGAGCAGCAGCTTAACCTCCGAGGCGGCGCGTTCTCCTTCGGCTCTGAGCGCCCGGTCGATGTTTTTGGAACGTTCGATGGCTTCTTTATCTCGTGCTGTACCTACGGCACAACCCATTTTGTTATTATCGCTGTTTGCTGCTTGTTAACCAACTCGTGATCTGATTTTTGGCGAAATTTGCGCCCGTTAGTAATTAATTTTCACTCGCGTTTTTCGGTACTTTTAATTAGCCACTGCAGATCGTTGCGTCTGCGCGTCGTCTGTACACTTTTTTTGTGTTGCTTCTCCTCCTCCTTTCACACAAACACATACACACGCATGCACACGCGCAGTCAAGAGTTTGAGCCGACGCAAACGTAGCGGGCTGTCGTTTTGCACTTTCGAAAATACTTGCGGCTGCTTTATTAAATTATTTAAATTCTCTAATTTTTTGTCTGGCGGCAATGCGAAAACTATTTTCTATTTGTTAATATTGCTATTGGCGTTCGCGAGCGTGAATCACTTTTGGGCAGCTACTGCGGTTCTCACTCTGATACCAAAAAAACACCAATAACCCGTAGCAGCTGGTCACATTGAAAACGATCAGCGCTTGTCAGTGCTGTTAAGCGCCAAATAGTTCGGCATTTACCAGCACAGCATATTATGGCAAGTGTGACGTCAGCATGAACAGTTGCTACGCTGCCAGACTGTTGCGTAAGCCTTGCAAATTGCTGAGTGCTATAAAAATCGAAATTCAAATATTATAAATTTAAGAAAATATCTTTAGCAAAGCCCTTGATTATGTTTGTAAATATATATTTTTAAAACTAATTGACTAATGGCTGACTGATTGGGCGTATACTTGCATGTGTATGTACATCTGAATCTACTATGTATAATGTAAATAAGCATCTGCATATTGTACGAATCGCAGACCAAGCTTTCTTAACTTCTCTTATAGTTAAATAAATAAATAATTAAATAAAACTTAAAATGGTCTAATATGCGATCTTCAAAAACTCAAATAAGACTCGCAAGCTACAACAATGAAGGAAGCTGTGAATTCCTCGGTGCTGCAGGAGGAAGAGAAACAGGAAGAGCAAGAAGAGAAAGGAAAAGGAGAAGTCACAAGAATAAGATGAGAAGAACTAAAAGGGGAGGATGATCTGGAGGAGAAGGTAATGGCATTAGTAGAGGCGGCAACAGCAGGTTTCTAGGTAGCAATGGAAGAAACTGGACAGCCTTGCTTGACAAGTCCAGTGTGTTGGAAAATTCATTAAATTTCTGTTTGTATGTGTGCATGAATGGGTGTGTGTTTGTATGTATAAACATATGCATGCACGCATGTATAATATAATAATGTGAATTTTGATATAGGAAAATATGTATGTGTACATACATACGCAGATTATCTCCAAGTATGTGATAAATTATGATTAATCAATCAGATACAACATATTATTAGCCTTTATTTATGGTGGTTTAAATAGTAAGAATTCTGTTATATCGTTAGAACAGAAAAAAACTTGCATATTTGGGCTGCACATTTTTGAGAATGTATCAAAAATTCAATATCAAAAATTTGCCCTTTGCCATGATATGTTTATTGAAATAACGCTTTAAGTATAAACAAACAAAAAACACACACAAATATGTGTGCGGCTCGGAAGTGCACGGCCTTTGCCCACAAACCGTATGCGCACAAACCGAAAAAAGTTCTCAGGGCCCGAGGAGGCACACACACACACACACACACACACATGCACAAGCATAAATAATATTTGCTTTATCCTTTTGGTGGGACAATACGATTATAAGAATGGGAATGTCGAACTACGTTGGCGGCCAATAGCGCCAAATGGCAGCAGTTGCATTCAGGAATCATTGGTACTTATTGGAAATCGAATCGAGAGCTGGAATGACTTAAGCAAGCAGCGGAGCTGTCAGGCTGGAACAGCTTTCCACAACTCATTTATCTACATAAACTGGAAAAGCACTGGGGTCGCAGTGCAAAAGCGGCGAGGACGTCACATGTTGCGCCCTGCGCCCCAGCGCATTGTCTACGTGGAGGCCATCAACGGGTCATGATTTACACATGTTTACACGAAGTTTAAGGACGGCAGCGGGGGGCTTGGGATCCCCTCATGAATGAATGATTGCAGCATTGCTTTTGTAATTTATCGTAAAAAGTAAAACGGCGTCCGCAACGGTGGCGACGACGACTGCAGCAGCAGCAGCTAGAAAAATATGAATTTATGCGGTTAGGGGTTGGGGGGATAGGCAAGAGGAGCGCGCGGAAGCTCGACGCTTTGGGTGGTCCAATTGGTGGCAGTCGCGCGAGTGCAAGGCGGCGCATGCCGTCTTCCTCTTTCTCGGCTGTCTTGCTCGTCATCGGCATCGTCATCATCATTGCTGCTGTTGTTGCTGCTGTTTTTGTTGTTCTTCTTGTTGCTGTTGTTTCGCGTTGAATAAAAACCGTTTGCTGATGCCAACAAATTTGACGAACGTCGACGTCGGCGTCGGACAAACTTCAATCGGCGCGCGCACAAAAACAAAAACCAAAGCAAACAACAGCAGCAGCAGCAACAACAACAACAACAGTTAAAGGACGCCAAGGCCTTGAAATAGATATGTATATATGTAGATGTATGTATATGTACATGCACATGTATGTACCCACACCCACACCTATATCCACACACTGAAGCAGGCACCGTTTAGCACATGTGTTGCCAGATTGCCAGGGCAAACTCAAGATTAAGATTAATTTCGTCGATAATTTGAAGAGAAGAAAAAAATTCGTTTTTGGAAAACTTTGCGCAGCGGCTTTTTATGCGTTGAAAGGTCGAACAGACACACGGCGGCTGTTCAACTGAAACAGCTATAGATGGTTGGGCAGCAGCAGCAGCTCCACCCCCAACTGCACTTCCAGCTTGATGGATGCTCGACCGCCCGTCGATCGTCGGCTGCGTCAATCGTTTGATTTTCGGTACTTTTCAAAGCCGTCGAGCAAGTCAACGAGCTGACAACTACAGAAAATAAATACCAAAACTTGTGAATGTCAGTTTAAAGAGGTGAAAATCCGAATAGTACTAAAAATAAAATACCGAGACTGGAAATACAGTTGCGACATTCCAGTTAATACAAAAACTGTTTAATTGGAAGACTTGGCCGTTTAGGTTAATTTTCCGGCAAAAATGAGGGCGCAAAATCGTAAAATCAAGAAATATGTGCAAGTATTTAACTAAAATTAGCAGCATTCAAATTGTTTACATTGAAAAAAGTAATAATTACCCAAAATACAAAGAGCCCAACAAGACAAAAATGTGCTCAACACGCACACACACACACACACAGAGAAGATGTAGAAACCGATCGATCGAAAAGACTAGGAAACAGAGGAAAAATAGTATTTCGACTATTGAGTCTTGGGCACAGAACGGCAGTCGACACAAGTGCGGCCCGTGTCTAGAATTTGTTTACATTAAGCATAGGGAAAACCAAATCGTCTATGGCCATACGGCTGCAACCTGCCCGGGAACGGGTGCACGGATCTTGGCAGCAGCAGAAACAGAAGCAGCAGCAGGAAACAAATATCAGTGCCAGTGCAATTGAATTGCCATAAAAACGGTTTCTTTGGCTCTGGGTGTGAAATTTATGAATTTCCCGTTGCTGCAGCTAGCGGTAGAATATATTTTTGTCATGGTTGCCAGATCAGAGCAATGCGGCTACGTGGGAGCTTTTAAGCACCTGCCAGCTGATATGATGCAGTTTTTCCCCCAAGAACAATGCAATAATTATTTAAGTTTTGTTCGATTTTGCAATAATTATATTTAAAATTTGTATGCGCTTCCATCTTGAGATCAGCATATCGTATGACTTCAGCGATCCCTAATGGAAATTCACAGTTTCCATGCGCCGACAGTTTCGACTTTTATCACTCTTTATGTGCGCCGATTTTACTTGTTGCTTTATGGCTTTATAATGTCTCGAGCGTTTTGGTTTTATGATCTCACTGCGCTCGGCCAGCTATAAACTACAACTGATTCATGTTGCGTTTGGGTTTTGGGTAATTTGTGATCCATTATGTGGACTGGTGTTCTGTTTGCACATTTGCAAAGGCGCCAGGCGGTCAGCGTCCAAAAATATCCGTCATTTGGAATGGACGAGATAGAGTTTACTTTTTACCCTTACCATCTTTACAACGTGGAGAGGTCGGAGCATTTGCTATAAAGGATTACATACATATTCGTTGCCTCGAGATGTTCTGTGATACGCACCTTTATCGCAACCGCCCTTTTTGCCGCCTTTGTCCTTTGAATCTTTTCCGCCTTTATCAGAGCCTTTACCGTCCTTTTTGTCGGCATCCTTCTTTTTGCAAGGATCTTCCTTTTTGCAGGGATCTTCCTTTTTGCAGGGATCCTCCTTTTTGCAGGGATCCTTCTTATCGGCGGAATCCTTCCTACTGGATCCACTTATAGTTCGACTGTTGCATAACAAGCTGTCGGTCAATTTTAAAACCGAAATATTTATCAAACGATTCATTATATTTTTTTTTTGGAATTTCAAATGTAAGTCTACGTTAGCTCGATTTCGTATATACTGAACTAAATATAGTTATGTTCTGAAGTAGACTTCTGAATACGAAATGACATGGATTGATGTTTTCATTGCTTGCTGGGATTTTGAACTTATCATCTAGGTTGCAAACTTTATATCTTGATATAATATTAACTATTTTAATGGAACTATTCACGACATTGTCGAATTGTGTGTGAAAGTTCAACTTTTTCCAAAGCTAACTAAAAATGTTCTTTATTGATACTTTCTTAACCTACAAAAATGTATATAAACAAAAGTCTGTTGTTTTTGACGGTTCTAATTAATATTATTAATCCCAAGATTAATTACTTAACTGACACATGTCATTCATTTCGATTTGTGGCTCGGGTTTTGTATTTGAAATTTTCGGTGTTGGGTTTCACATTTGCCCGATCCCGCTACCGGATCTCAAGTGGCGACCACACATTAGCCCGGTCGCCCGACTGCCCGGGTCCGAGCATCAAGTGGACTCGAACCACAGCGACAATGTCTCGGCGACGCCATGTCAAAATATTTGTCAGCGCCTCGTTTTACGCCGGATAATCATTACGGACTCTTGCTGCGTCAGGATGTCGCCTACAATTAACCCAAATTTGAATATTGGCCTCCCTCCGAGGCACTTGAGGCGAAGGCGACGCATTGGTAAATATATGTGCCACAATATGTGTATATATGAAATGGATCGATTCCTTGCTCTTGGGTTAACTTTACTCTGGCTTTACTGTATTTGATCTTGAGATATATTTTATTTAATATATGGAAATTTTGTGGCCTAGTTTCTTCGAGCATTGAGCTGTCAATAAGTCGCAGCATGGCAGAGCACAGAGTTCAGATTTCTTGTGCCATTTCCGTTGCCACATGCCGCACAGGTGCGCTGACCCGCAAGGCCAATGAATAAAAAACTTCGAAAGGCGGGAAGAGCTTCAGATTAAAATGTACAAAGGCCAAGAACAAAGCAAAATATGCGAGCGACAACAGCAACAGGCAACAGCAACAGGCAACAAAAACGGGCAACAACGGGCAACAGCAAATTCCCAAGAATCAATGACGACAACACGCGTCAATTGAAACGAAACAGATGCCAAAAGTTCGAAGATCGTGGATCGTGGATTGGTTGCACGCTGAAGCAAAGTCGCTGCCACTTGCCACTTGCCACATGCGAGGCGCTTGACTATCTAGCTAAAGATTAATTACAGCCAAATTTGTAATTGAAAAACGTTGCAAAGCCCGTAAATCGCAGTCATAAATTTGTTATTCTGCTGCTGTTTCCTGTTGCAACTTTCTTACCTGTACCATGTTTCACGTTTCAGGTGCCGCGTTCCGCGTTCCGTGTTCCGCGTTCACCTTGCTGTGAGTCAACGCATTTTTAAGTGCCGGCTATTAAACCAAAAGCTAAACAATGCCAACCAAATGCCAAGTAAAAATGGCTTTTGCTGAGTTTCGACCGACAGACGGACGGACAGACGGACGGACGGACAGACAGACAGATCGCACGTCTCGCGCTTTGTTGTTGGCTCTTTTGAAAGAATTTGGCTGTGTTTGTGTGTGTGTGTGTTTGGTTCTTCTTCTTCTTAATTTCTGTTAAATTTGGCGCAATTATTGCGCACCAAATGGAACGCAAGTCTATAAATTGTTCAATTTTATTGCGCCAGCTTCGACAGCTGAATGGCGCACCCAAATGCCCCCTCAGCGGAGGCTTCCAGCAGCTATCCGAGTGTGTGTGTGTGTGTGTGTGTGTGTGTGTGTGTGTGCTGTAGCTTTTATTGTCTTGCCACAGTTTGCATAGTAGTTTGGCAATGGCAGCTGGCTGCCTAAAACACACGTCGTGTTGGCCATCTTGCGCAAAAGTCGGCGGCCATTTTGAAATTGTAATCGACAAGCGGCAAGCGGCAAAGGTGTTAATGGCCGCCCCAGAACCTGTCTCTGCTCCGAGTGCCAAGTGTGTGGCAACAACAGCGTGACGAGGCACTTTAATATAGATGAAACGATGCGAATTAGCCTTGTAATTTGTTCAATTATTATCTGGAACCTTGGCATTTACAATTTTAAGTCCAGAAAAGACCCAAAGCGTACTTGTGAATGAGTCCACCTGCAATTGCCTGAAGATAAGTTGTCTTAGAGACCAAGCAAATGGCGAGAATCAGGGCTCAAAACCGAAGAATCAGTTAAAACACAAATAATATTAATGACGATAGAAATAATAATGATAATAATAATAAGAGTAATACATTAATTATAATAGTTATAGCCAAACATTTGCCGTTTACTTTCTATAACTTTATTTATTATTTATTATATTCTAGTTTTCTTTTATTCCTATTTTTAACACATCAGCTATTGCTAATACAAATACTAATATCAATGAAAATAATATTAATAATGCTAAAAAGAATAATACACTGATTATAATACTGATAACAAAACATTTGTCGTTTACTTTCTATAACTTGATTGTTTATAGTTGATAGTTTTTAGTTTATATTAAACTTTTCTGCTGTTCTTATGTCTGACACATCAGTTAAATGAATAATAATATCACTGATAACAATAATATTAATAATGATAATACGAAAAATACTTTAATAATAAAACATTTCTTTCTATGTTTCTATTTATTGTAGATAATAGTATATAGTTGATATGATATTTTCTTCTGTTCATATTTCTCACATATCAATTTATTGTTACTTATTAAATATTTTGTTTGGCTGTCACCAATTCCATTCCAAACATCAACCCAAAAGCGATTTTCCACTTAAACGCCCAAGCGTTAAAATCTCTCATAAATATTTACAAAATAAAAAAAAAACATCATTAAAGTCGTGGGAAAAACACAATAACAAAGCCTTAGGGAAGTGAGATTTTATTAAAAAATAAATATATAAGTTAATATAAATTGTTTGTATTTCGATATTTTGGCTTTTTGTTTAATTTCTGCAAATGCGTCTCACGTGATTGAATCTCTGCCTAGAGGCTGGGGCATAAACAAATCCATGACTGTGCTTATAAAGTCATAAAAGCAACCCAACTATTTGGCCAGATCTAAGCAAGAATTTGCACATTAGAATTGTAAATATTTAAACAAAAGCAAAAAACAATAAAAAAAAAAAAGAATGGAGAGGAAGGAACTGCGCGTGAATAAGAAGGAAATTCCTAGCTATAGACGGCATATTTTTTGCTCGCCGCATCTTGTATGTAAATATTTTGAATTTTGGACTATTTGATTATTTATTGTCCGGCGGATCAACAGTTTAATAAACGTCGGCAACTGCTAGGGCGCAGGGGATGGGCGCAGGTGGCAGGGCGTGTCCGTGGAAGCTGCAATTGTTTGCTTTCCCAGTTGTTGTAGGTCAGTGTGCAAAAACAAAAGGCGCCGCAGCTCCAACTTGTATACAACTGGGCACCTAAAGGGGGCGGGGGGGAGGGAGGGGCGGTACGTTTATCCAAGATCCGAAGGAATCGTGTGTTTAATTGTTAGATGTTTATTAAACTACAGCACGAGGCAAGTTTAAACAATGCTGGCCATGGCCGGCATTTGGTATTGTTTGGTGTTCTTTTGCATTACGCGGAAAGAGAGACGGCCAGAAAGAGTGCGAGCATTGGAGTGCGAGTGCGAGTGAGAGTGCGAGTGCGAGTGAGAGGGGATGTATCAATGGGATTGGCCGCTTTGTGTACTACAACTCAACTTGTTGCGGCAGACGCGTCGTATACATAATTTTGTTTACAAACGTCCATAATAGTAAACAATTTGGCCATTTAATAACATTAACATTAAATTAAAAGCAAAACAAACGCCGTACAAGAAGCCCATAACAACAACAACAACAACTGGAACAACAACAGGAATATCAAGCGAGATGTATTGTATATGCTTATCTTTATTATGATTATATTTGAACTTGAAAACTGAATGAAGAAGATGACGAGTTTTGTTTGGGAATTCCCTCGTTGGGAATTGTTGTTTGTTATGGGCGTGCTTAACGGAGCACTCGCATCCGTTCCGGCAATTGCAATTGCCAACGGACCACACAACATCAAATCCCGACTATATATACATATATACAATATCTTGGCGGAACTGTTGACCCAGTTAACATGACGCACAGTTTGGCTTTGCATTGGATTCGATTTGGCTATAAATACAAGGCGCGATGTCATGTCAAAGAAATTTCGCAGCAGCAGCAGAGGGAGGGGGGAAGACAAAAAATTCTGGCAAAAACAAAATGTTGTATAAAAGATAAACTTTTGCAAAAAGACAAAAATCAACATGTTTTCCCAAACGACAACGAAATATACGAAATGACGTAAAATCAATTTCTGTTATAATTCAATAAATATATTGCTCGAAATATATTTTTCATCAAAATATTTAAGCAAAGAGAACTGAAGTTATTTTCTACAATGTTGTTTATTGATTTATAGAACCTGCTATGAGTAATGCCTATTCTTATTTTTTCTGCCTTCGGCCAATGTCATTTGTTAACGGTAGCGATTTCTTTTAAATCTTCCTTCACACCTGGGCAATTAATTAATCGCCAGTTTTAAACTGTGGCCATGATGCCAGCCAGCTATGGAATATTGTATTGCATTGTACGGTTCGCAGTGCGCGATGCCTGTTTAATTTATTCCACACTCACAAATAAATTCTGGATGGGCCGCAACGAAAACCCCAGCACGCAAAAACCCGAATAAGAAATAATAATAATCAAACGTAAAATTAATTTATAGCCCCTGTCCGCAGAGGCCAGCGGTCAGCTAGCCAAAGGCTTTAATACACGGCATAAGTATGTGCGGGCGAGCGTGCAATAAATACAGTGCAAACTCAACCAACGGACAGCCCTCTTGAACGGACAGCTTAAATGATGATGAAGCAGACCATGCCCAGTCACCCTCCAAAAGACGTACATTGCTCAAACAAATATAACCCGTTGATGGTTGTCCATCCAAGGGAGCTTTCACTGTATGTATATTTGTGTGTGTGTGTGTCTTGTGGATAGCCCATTGACTTTAAATGCTGTGCTGAAAAATGCTCCACAATTGCCCAATTTGTAGCTGTTGTTGTTGTTGTTGTTGCTTTGCGGTTATTGTCTGCGGTTTCCACGAAATACTCTGAAAATGGCGAGTGCTTTGGAAAATTGTCTGCTTGTGATATATTTGCAAAACGAAATTAAAATATCTTTCGGGCCGCACAAAAGTCAAATAAAATTGAACGAAACAAAAAAAAAATTATATAGCTAACAAACTGCGCGTTGTTGTTGCTGTTGTTGTTGTTGCTGCCTCTGCCAGCAGCGCCAATCGTGCCTGACGCGTTCGACAAATAGAATTCGTTTAATGTAAACAAAACTCCGCCTCCGTGTGTCTCTCGCTAGCTGTGCGTGTGCATGTGTGTGCCTGTCTGTGTGTGTGTGTGTGTGGCTGTTTGGGGATTGAAACGTTGCTCGATCTCTGGGCACCGAAAAAAAAGAATAAAATCAAAGATGCGTGTGGAGAGCAGAGAGCAGAGAGCGAAGAGCGGACGCGACGCCATCGTCGCCGTCGCCGTCGTCACGGTCGCGAGTCGGCGTAGTGCTGACAGCAATGGCGGCACTCAGGGAGCAGCTACGAGACATACAACCCCCAGCCGCAGGCAGTGAGACCCAGGTCCGGACCCGGTGCCGAGCCATACGAACGACTAAATCAATTAACAGCTCGTTGGAATGCCGCCAGCATTGGGAGCAAACGGCGAACGGTTTATTTCCTTTCCATGAATGCTAAATGTTAATTCGTTCGCAGTAATTGGGGTTTCGAGATCGGGGTTTTTCGACTATTTATTAACTGTTGACTGTGCAAGGCGCAGGAGTCCAATCTACGCTCGACGGGAGCTAAGACAACTCAATGCTAATCATGTGTCTTGAGCAATAGAACTCCTAGAGATTTTGTTGAGAATGACAGCGTTATGGTATTTGAGAATTATTTTTTCCACTTTTTAAGTGCCCGATTTCATAATTGAAACTCTTTCTAGACTTTAAACTATTTTAATCTTGTCGTATATTTAATCTTGTTGTATATGCCAGATCAGTAGGGATCCTGGCCAAAGCTATTTAAAAAGGGTAGGTAACTATATCCTAGATGCATAAATATTATGTTTTTGTCAAGTCTATAAGTCTTTTTTTTTATAATATCATGATCTAACTTAACTGATCTAAATTATGTATCTATCAATATCTATATTCTGATCGACCTACAATAAGCTTTCCATATTCCAATATGAAAAATCTTAATAATATCGAACGTCTTTAGCATATATGTAGCTTCAAAAGGAACAATAAATCGAAAAGAAAGTTCTTGTAAGCACCCCATTTTTGTTATGTTTCCAAATACTGTCTATATACTGCTGCCTATTTACACACATGCACAAATATATGTATGTATACTCCAATGGAAAGAAGAAGAATCACCATACAACACACAGCTCTCTCAGATTGCTGGAATTCCCACTTAAGACCTATCCGCCCACTCCCTGTACCTGGATATTTTGCATGCCAATGCATAGGCCAGGCTCCAATAACAATAATCACAGTCATGTCACAGACATGCAAAAGCAGAGAGAGAGAGAGGGAGAGAGCAAGTGAGAGCGAACAGTTAGATGAACAAAAGGCAAGCCAATTAGCTGCAAGTCAAATTGGAATGAGAGGCACACAGAAAGAGAGCGGGAGAGAGCGTAAGGCGTAGGCGAACTAAAAAAAGAACACATTCAGCTTCAAGTGGAGCGCCGCTCCTTAGGATCGCAGCGTCGCCGCGGCCCGCCGAGCAGAATGAGAGCAACGCACACGTTGAGAACGCAAACAGTTTACAGTTAGGCGAGTAAAGCGAAGCCGCGCGGTTCTATCCATTACGGAACGGATAAAACTGTTAAGAAAATAAGAAAAATCAAACGACTTCGGTGCGTCCAACTAGAAAATAAAAGAAAAAGATTAATAATTCCATTAAAGAAAATGATCAAAAGTGAAGAAGTGGCATCCGACCTGAACAGCCGCACAATGGGCGTTGATCAGCTGGGCGGGTTTGTGAACGGCGCCCACTATCACCACCATCATCCGCACCTTCACCTGGGCAGCGCACAGCACACACACGCGCATCCGCACGCACACACCTTCACGCATCACACGCCCACGCACTTGTATCGCGCTGGGAACACGCTGCCCGCTGGCAGTTTCCAATTGATGGGCGGCGATTCACCCACAGAGCTGGTGGATGAGAAGCCCAACATTAGCTACATGGATCGCAAGTTCTATGCATCCACGGTGGATGGCAATGTCACGCCCACCGCCCAACAGCAGCAACAGCAGCAGCAGCAACAGCAGCAGCAGCAGCAGCAGCAGCAGCAGCAGCAGCATTACGGGCTGAGTGCGCTGCACAGCATGGGCACGCCGCCGGCTTCGTCGAGTCCGATACCAGCATATGGCGTGCTAATGACCGCCCATTCGGTGGGCTCGGTATCGCCCAATTCCAGCTCCAAGACGCCCACCGATCAGGAGATGTACGTGAGCTCGTCGGTGGTGAAGCCGCTGCAGCTGCAGCCGATGAATCATCAGTACACCTCCACCATCAAATACTGCTCCAACAATACCATACTGAGCGCCAACGACTACCACCAGCTGGCCATGCCCGAGGCGGAGCAGCAGCAGCAGCAGCAGCAGTCGCAGCAGCAGCAGAACTCTCCGGTGTCCGGCAGCTATTTGCCGCGCATGTCATCGTCGCCCACGCAGGTGATAGCAAATGCCCATGGACACGGCCTGCCCGTAATGAACTACTCGAGTGCCAGCTCCTCGCCAGCCAAGTCGCTCAACGGCTCCGAGACGACGCCAACGAATGGCACACATGAGAGCTCCAGCACGGCGCAGTCCAAGGCGACGGGCTCCAGTGCACGGGATAACAGCACGCCGGATACGACCAAGAAGTCGGGCACTCGTCGGCCAGAGAAGCCAGCTTTAAGCTACATCAATATGATCGGACATGCCATCAAGGAGTCGCCCACGGGCAAACTGACGCTCAGCGAGATCTATGCATATCTGCAAAAGAGGTGGGTCCAACATATAGAAATATATCAAATCGGAATCGGAATCGAACGCGTTCGCTTCAATTCCCTTGTTAATTAATCGCAAAGGGCCACTTGAGATTGAGGCTCCAAATTGAGAGTATCCAATTTCAGTGACCATATTTTGAGCTTAAGAGCTTGAAAGGCTTTTTATGTCCAAGACGCAGCTTTAGAAGATTGCCCAATCAGAAATCATAATATTGTTAGGAGTTGTCGGGATTGAAGCAAGCTATAAATTCAATTCTAGATTGTTTCATTTTAACAGAATCTTCTAAGGGCTTGAATACGATTCGTCTAATATTTTAATAATATTAAAATAGAGCTCCTTATTAAAATATGAGCTGCTTAAGATATAAGCAAAGAAATAATCCAAGATATTAGTCAAAGATATAACCACAGGATAGCTTCAAAGATATAATCAAAGACATAATCAACGACATAATCAAAGAAATAAACAAAGTTATAATCAAAGATATAGTTCAGCAAAGATTTACCCAAAGATAAAATTTAAAAATATAATCAAAGTTATAGCCAAAGATATAACCAAAGATATTATCGAAGATATTATCAAGGATTACCAAATTTCCTTTCACATAACTCTATGAAACTTTTCTTGGAAAATATATCTTCCATAGGCAACTGATTTGATTATAAATTTCTAAAAAATGTAAATACATAAAGCCAAAAATAGGCCTATATTGCACATAATTAATGGGTTATATGATATATTAATAGTCAGGAAAAATGCTAGAGCTATGCTCTAAGATGAAAGATATTTCAAATGGCCTAAGTCATCCTTTAGAAAGTGATAAGAAAACATGCAAATATACCTAACTAGCGAAAAGGAAAGGCTACCTCCGACTCTATGAAGTATAGATATATATATATCTTCTTGATCTGGAGCTGCAGCCTAGTCGATCAAACTGAGCACATTTGAGTAATATATTTAAATTAAATAAATTAATATTTATAATGTATTTGGTGCATCTACCTGTCTGAAAGATATATGCTCTATTTCGGATTTTTGGATTCTCGTATGCCATACGCAGCTGCAGTTTAAGTAAATTTGTAGACAATCTTTCAACTTCAGCTGGACCTACAAAATTTCCGAATATTTTTTTTCTCAGCATTTCGCAGAGAGCTTTTATCTGGCTGCAGAGCATCTTCTAGTTGGGCACTCCCGACCGCAGCACACCCATTTGTTGCATAGATAGAGAAAGAAGTTAATTTTCTCAGTTCTTTCTTAGTTTCTACAATTTTTTAATTTATAATCAGTTCAGTGTGAACGTGCAGGTATCTGGTTAAAGCCCCCAAAATGGCTCCGTCTTGACATTTATCGATCGTCGCATTCCCAAGCGCCGAAGGCAGCGGCGCGAGCTCAAGTAACGTGCTGGGACCCATTACCGACATCGACACCCCGCCACCGGGCACCGGACACAGATACAGCCGACATGAAAGTGGGGAGGGGATAGGGAGGGGGTAGGGGGGAAATTGGCAACCGGCAACGCGAGGCACCTAAAAGTGTTTCGATTTTCATGTGTGTCGCTTGCGTTTATTTACTTGCCTCCGATTTTATTTAGTCAACAAAAAATATGAGCAGCTCCCCCAACCCAAGCCCAAGCCCAACCCCAACCCCAACCCAGGCCCAAGCTGAAGCCCAGCCAAGTCGGGCCACATCAAGCCGGGCCCAAGCCGCAGCTCGAGCAGGCGCATCCTTTTGATTGCTCATATTTCTCCAGCGCATGGCACTTTATATGTTTGGATTATGGGCGACATTCGCGACTGGGAACCAGACAGAGACCAGAGAGGGACGGGGCGGGGCGGGGCGGGGCGGGACGGGGCTGGGAGTTGACAACGCGTTAATGCGTGAGAGGATTTCGCGCTGACGTCGTTTGTTTGTTGTTGTCCCGTCTGTGAGCCCGAAAAATCTTTAATTGGCTTTTGTGACGGACACCCAAAGCTCATTAGACCGAATGAGAATGGGGGAGATATGAGGGGAGTGTGGCAGCTGAAACCAAGTAAATAAACTTGCATTATCTGTTTTGCCGGCAGCTATGAATTCTTTCGCGGACCCTATGTCGGCTGGAAGAACTCGGTGCGTCACAATCTCAGCCTGAACGAGTGCTTCAAGAAGCTGCCCAAGGGCATGGGCGTGGGCAAGCCCGGCAAGGGCAACTACTGGACCATCGATGAGAATTCGGCGCATCTGTTCGAGGATGAGGGCAGTCTGCGACGTCGTCCGCGCGGCTATCGCTCCAAGATCAAGGTCAAGACCTATGCGGTCAATCCGAACAGCTTCTACAGCGGCAGCTACGCAGATGCGGGCATGGTGAGCCAAAGAGTCAAGCTATCCGAATCTGTGATCCTTATAAAATCCTTTCCAGGACACGGCCAACTTCTATGCGACGCCCACCTATGCCAGCTACGACTACAGCGCTGCGGCCGGAGGAGGTCCTGCGTCGGCTCAGGGCTTCGGCGATGCCTGGAACGTGCATGCGGCGCACAGCGGCGCGCCAGCCGTGTCCGTGGGCACCCTGCCCCAGTACTCAAACATAACCTGCCTGACGTCGGTGGGCAATAATCTGAACGGGTCACCCACTCCGCCATTGGCGCACTCGGCGCTGGGCATGTCCTCGACGGCGGGCCCCTCCAGTTCGCCGGTGTCGGCGCTTCAAAGTGATTATGCGCCAGCCGCCAGTCTCGTGGCCGCGGGCTACTCCTATGCAACAAGTGGCGGCGGCTTGGATAACGGTAAGTGCCCCACTGCGCCAGTTCGCCAGTCCTCCAGTCCGTCAGTCAGTCAGCCTGGGTGTTCCTGTCAATCAGAGCCAGCTTATTGCTGGCTGAGTTCACGGGGTGTGCGTGTGTGTGTGTGTGCGTGTGCGTGTGTGTGCTGGGCATTTAGATCTCGGATTACCACCGCATAGCAACACATGGCACATGGCCCGTCCGTCCGTCCGTCCGATGTCGAGCGTTTTTATTGCTGTCGCTGCCGCTGCCTCTGTCGGCGTCGCGGCGCTGTGTGTGTGAATTTTAACGCCGGATCATAAAACGAAACGCTTTTTAATCGCATCTTGTTGTTCTCCCCCCTCGCTGGCTGGTTTCACAGGTCTGCGCTCCATGTCGCTGCAGCAGCTGCCCGGCCTGTCCTCAATCCAGACGGGACAGTCGCAGTCGCACCATCATCATCATCCGCATCATCATCCGCATAATGGTCATCATCATGGAAGCATGACGCCGCCGCCATCGCAATCGGGCAACCATGGCACAGATCGCTCGCCCATCGATCTGAAACCGGTTTACCTGACGCCCATGACCCCGCCCCCGACATCGGTGAACGGCGGCTACTACGAGACAATCAAATATTCGAATTAGTGCAGCCCGATCTTATTGGGCATTACTCCCCTACATACATATATATATATATATGTATGAGTTACTATATATATGTATGAGTTACTTTGCATTATTACCTCAAAGGATAATCAAGTTTAATGTTAGTTAGTTAGTTGCTTAGTGCGTAATCAAAGGAATCAAATTATCAAATAAAATATATCATATAATTAGCAAGTATTTATAAAGCAAATAGTCAAGCATTATTTGTGATCAAATTGTTCAAATCTAAATAAATATGCACCACCATGCATACGAATAACAAGTAGCCGAGCGTACTCGACTAGCAGATACCCTATACCCATCGTATTCACATAGGTACACCTTCCGTTAATGTTTCCCTTGCTTTTTACTATACTGTGCCTTTAAGCTGATTCTTATGTAAAATACAGGTTATTAAATATATATTTGCGAACATCATGAATTTTTTCGCCATATCTTGTATATTAAAAAGTTTAAACAATCTTCACTGGGGCCTTGGTATACAAAAACTTACAATTCCAGTTTTGTAATCGTAAAGAACAACGCATTCATAAATGAGCGGACGTAGTAGTTGTTGTTTATTAATTAGGTTTAGTATTAGTTTATAATCCTGTTTTCGAAATTTTTAAAAAATCCGCGCATTTTGCTTCGGATGAGTCAATTTTGCGTGCAGCCAACTTCAAGTGTGTTCGAAACTTGTTTACAGTGAAGTTGGCTGCACTGCGTGATATTGTGACACACGTTATGTAAGCAGAGTGCGCAAAGCAGTGCACTGCTTAATGGTGCGCTGCTTAGCTGCAACTGCTTGAAACTAGCCGTTACTTTTTGCTGGACTTAAAATTCGTTTTTCGACAATCTGGCAACATGTGCAATAGTTGAAATCAAGTAAATGTGGAATATGTCGGCAGACTCGGGCATTATATATATATGGTTGCTGCATTTGTATGTATTTATATACCTAGACATATATATAAATATATCTATGGCTTTTATTATATATTTCAACATAATTGAGTCGGCAAAGGAGTATGTTTATGGATTTCCTCAAATGTAATTTAAATTGGAATGCCACATAATTAAGTAGCCTGTTAGCATGCAAATCAATGCGAAGTATATTTGTATTGGGCCCATTGATAAATACCCACTCCACAAGGCAACTAACCAGCTCAAGGGATAATAATGTTCGGCTCGTAAAATGTATCTAATTGCCAGGCACATGCCCGGCACATTGTTCGTGAGATTAGCAATCCAATTATTCAGTTAATTGTCTCACCTTTATGGGCAAATTAAAATCTCATCCAGAGTCAAATGGAACACAGCACAAAGTCCAAGGTAAACCAAACTGAACCGCACACTGGCCATTGTCCGGGCCGGGGAAAGGCAGCAGCAATCGCATCAAGAAGTCGTCGCCATTGATAATTATCGCCAGCGACGAAGACGGGGATGCGGTTACGGTTGCGGCTGAGGATGAGGATGAGGACTAGGCTCTGGACAAGGCAGAGAGACAAAATCTTGGCAAAACCGAAAGGCAAACAGAGGAAACGGCAGTCGAGGTAACTTTAGCTGAGTGAAAAATTTCACAGTCAAAGGATAATCGGGATTAAATCTTCTTGAAAAGTTAATGTTTACACACGCACCTACCGCTGGCGATGCGCCGATGACAACGGCAAACGGCAGCAGCAGCAGCAAAAAAAAAAAAAAAAGAGATGCAAAAATTATGAAAATATTGTCACAAGTGCACAGCCAGGACGCGCTGGACGAGGCAGCGGCCAGTTGCCAGGACAATTGCAGGCGGCAATCAAAACATGCAATTGTCCTTTTCGTGCCGTTGCAAATCGAACCGAGAGCCGAGAGCTGAGAGCTGCCGCCGAGCCGGCGTAAGAGGATTTGTGCGTCAAGTAAACACACGAACAGGACCAAAATCGAACCAGGACCAAACCCGAAAACCAAATTCAAAGATGCAGCCACAGCCGCACCAGCCTGCATAAATAAATAAATAAAATGATTTGAACATTTTTATTTTGTGCAAAAAAATAAATGAGAAAACGAACATTTTTCTTTGCGTTAAAATAAACAATTTCTTCTTCGTTTTTTTTTTTTTAAATTGTTCGAAACGAGTTTTATTTTAAATTTATGCGAAATTAAAAACGTTTTTCGCCAGGATTTTCAACTGGCAAATGTTTTGATAGGCGCGTTTTCCAGAATCTGTTCGTCCGAACGGAACGGAACGGATCAAAAAAATATCTATGTATATATCTTTTATAAAGAATATTCATAGACAATTCTATTGGCAATTTTCAATTCGAATCGTTTACACACAAAGTCTCGAGTATGTCGCGCGTATTTCCCCCATATAAATAAACAAAAGTCTTGTTGGAATAACATGGCATCGAATATTTATAAAATAAACATTAGACCAGCAGCAACTGCAACAACAACAACAACAACAACAAAAGCAACAACAAAAGCAACAACATCAAGACAAGTTCGAGTTTTGAATGGAATAGCTCGGGAGACGGCATTGGAGACCCTGTTTTTATGAATGAATTAAGCGCGGTAATGCAAAGTGTTGTGAGTTATGCTCGGGCAGGTATAACACATTTATTCAATGGGTGCATGTGAATGGCTCGCTGCAGCATTCGCGATTTGCAGCATGAATATATCGCCGACTAGGTACCAGAGAACTAAGCACTTTATGACACTCGCTTGAGTAAAGTCTTCAAGTAAATAGAACATAAAACAGACAGTTTCTACAGAGGCTTTAATTAAACGTTGCTGGCAAAAACATATAAATAGATACTAAAATTATTAAGAAATATTTAAAATCACAAAGTTCTATATATAATGCTAGATTTGGCGACCTTTCCATATTTTAAATATTTATTTGGCTGGCTGGAGGTCCGGGGTTTTTTATTCAAAACTAATAAGGTAACACAATTTTCTTTGAATATTCACTGGAATTCCAACTTAAAGATAAAAGCTAATCAAATCAATCGTATTATAGTTGGCGGCCAAATTTGAACAGTTTCCGGATGGTTCAGGTTTAGGTTAAGGTTTCAAAAGTTGAAGATCCAACAGATATTATAAAGGTTTAACTACTTAAACTAAGTTGTAAATACTAGTTGCTTTTAGTTTTCCCTTAACTTAACAAATTAATGAACTTTAGTTCAGCTAGACGAACTTCATATTGTATTGGAAGAAATTGCCCGGCATTGCGCGCGTCGAATTATTTATACAAATGCATGTCGTCGAGCTACACTAAAACCAAAGTAATTTATTTTTAATTTAATTAATTTTTTAATATATTTATATTCCTTTTTTAATATATATTATATTTTTTTATTTATTCTAATAACTGTAATATATACAAATATAATTAAATAAATTTATTTATTTCCCAAATATTTATATTCATATTTATATCAATAATATATTTTTTTGATTTATTCTAATAACTGTAACTGTATACAAATATAATTAAATCTGAATGAATTCTAATGATATGCAACAATTCCTCATTTGCAGTGCAACTAGCTGGAGTTGACCTCAATAAAGAAGTTTCCCGGAAATGTGCATAAAACTCAAGCATCGGCTCATCACTTAAGCAAAAAGTCCACACCTCAACGCTCCCATCGCTCACAGCGAGAGACGAGAGACCAGGAGCAGCGGCGGCAACACCCACACAACCGCTGCTGGGCAATAAAAACTGTAAAACCGCAAATAAGCCACAAAACCGCAGGACACGCGCGGCATAAGTAAACCAACCAGCCAGGGGACAGCATCATCATCATCATCATTATCACGATCTGGCAGCCGGCAGGGGGGAAAACCGGCCACATGAAGTAGCACGAGTAGCACGGGCAGGAGTCCGGAGTCCAGTTCAGGGCAGGTAAGTTGGGCAGCTAAGCCCGTTAGCCGTGGAAATACCCAATCGAATTTCTGTAGGTTTCATTAAGAATTCCCGCGGCGCGCATTAAAGTCTAAACATGCCAACCCCGCGCAAATGCAAAAAGTTTTCCGCGCTTAAGCATGATGATGATTAGCATCCGGTGATTGGTGTTTTGCTGGCCAGGAATTAGGCGGCAGCTTCAGGTAGCCTGGGCGACTTAGCGCCGCCGTCTTGCCATGAATTTCCGCTGCTTATGGCCTAAGACCGGAAGATTTTCGCCATGATTATGATTGCGATTATGATTATTATGATTAAACTAATGGCGGAAATTTTCCCAGCTGCGTGCAGCGCACGGCAACCCCTTTTGTACCACATCCACCACATCAAATTTCTTGGAACAACAAAACCTAAAAATTTGTATCTACAACTAATCTGCTAAATTGGCTATGCAAAAAAGAACGAACTATGTATGCATAATGAGAGCTCGAACCATATACAAATCATAAATTTTAATGAGTGGCCAATATCGAGCGAGCCACCCACACCCACACCCACCCCCAACAACAGCCAACAGCCAACACCCAGCACCCACCCCCCTCCGCGTACACCCCAATTCACTGTCCAACGACAGAAGCCACCACGAGGCCGCCTCGTTGTTTGCCAGTGCAGTGTGCAAGCAGTGCAATGCATGCGCCATTGCTGCGCTCTTGCTCTCTCTCACTCTTTGCGGCTTGGCTATGTGTGCAGTGCAGGCCACGCCTACCATTCGCTGCGCATTCGTCTGTGCATGCCTGTGTGTGTGTGTGTGCGCCCTGCTTGTGTGTGTGTGTACGTGAGTCTACGCTTTATTGGCTCAGCGGAGCCAGCAGCGACGCAGCGTCGACGCATGCATATTCATGAGAGAGCAGCAGTGAGCAGCGAGCAGAGCAGCGCTAGCGCTGTATTTGTGTTGGTATGCGAGCTATTCATGTGTGTGTGTGTGCGTGCGCATATTTCGCCTTATCAGCATTTTTAGGAGTGCGCGTTTTTCAAGCGAAATATATTTTTCAATTCCTTCTTTTTTGCTAGAAAATTTATTATTGTTGCAGCTTAAATCCTGTTTCTCTGTGTGTGTGCATGTGTGTGTGTGTGTTTGCCTGGCTCAAGTGCCGTTAACTGTCTGATTAGGGCACTCCGTGCACTCAGCGCTTTAAAATAAATATTGTTTTTAGATTACTTCTAGTAAAAATACTAAAATCTGCCCAAAAAAAGAGAAGAGGAAGGCAAAAGAAATTGCTAAATTTAATAGGCAATGAATTGCCATATGGTACGCCCTTTGTCCGTCTCGCCGTCTGTCTGCACGCCCCGACATGTGTTGCAAATTGTCCTCCACACTTTTAGCTATCTGTCTAGCCGCGCTCCCTTCCCCTCCCCCCCACCACTTACTGCACCGAGTGGACATCTGAAGCGTCGCCTGCTCGACGGCGGTGTCAACGTTCTGTTGACTGCCTCAAATTGAGCGTGCAAAATGGCGAGATACTTTTTTTTTTGGCGACAGGCGCCCGCCGCTCCCCAACTGAATTGAGTTTTGTTCAACAAAATCATGTAGCCCAGATATGAACTTTGCTCTTTTGCAGAGCTTAAATTTTTGTCAAATTAATATGTTTCATATGCTGACACCGTGACGGGAGCGTTCTATTGCGTAATCCAAATTTTGAATATTATTAAGTTCATCAAACTCTGTGATTTCAATGTTTAGAGAAGGCCAGCAGATCATTAATGTGGCATAAAGTAGAGATGAGAAATATAAAACTGATGTAAGCTTTGGTAAATGCAATTAAGGTACGTTCTATACTAGAAAAATGCCGATGACATGTTTTTGTTTAGTTTTTCTTTATATATTTTTTCTCTCAACTGTTAAAAGAGATTATTGTAAGTCCCTGAGTTCCTGATCTCAACTGCTAAAAGAGATATTGGTTAAGGTTCAAATAATACAAACCCAAAAGAAATCGCTGGTTCGATTCGCAGTTCGAAGCAACTCCTTGCCTTAAGGCTCGCCTCATGAGGCTCATTAAGTTTTTCACATTCTTGTCATATATTTTCTAAATTTATTTTATTTTAATTCACAATTGCCTGTTGTTCTGATAATATTGCAAACTGTAAATATTTTCATATACAAGATGCAGGCTAAATTAGATCTTAATAATTTTCAGATACTTTAAAGATTGGGGACAAAGTTATTCATACTTTGGGTCTCGGTCTCCCTCAAAAGATATTTATTTTATATAAAATCAGTTTGGATAGGGTTAGAGTTGGGATTTTTTTTTTGGGACAACTGAAATGCTATTGTATTGCTGGACAATACTGTAAAAGTATACATATGTATATATATATGTGTACATACAGAGGTACCATTTAATTTTATCCACTTTTAGCTGACGTTTAATCACCGAAGCTTAAATGAAAATTTTAACCGTGCAACTACTTAAAGTCTGATTAAACTTTCACTGCAATTGGGAAACGTTTGGTTGGAGTTGGAGAGAGATTAAAACAATATTTTCATAGGTCAAATGACAGACAAAAATGGAGCGGGAGCTCGAGATACAAGTGCTGCATGAGGCCAGGGACTGAAACTGGAACTGGAACTGGATGTGGAATTGAGACCAGAGACAGGGCTACAGATTGGGACAGACGGGCGAGGCAACTGCGCAAAAAATAACATGAACTGTGCAAAATGCAGAGGCAGACAAAGTTACATACACCCACACACACACACACACACACACACGCACGCACAGTCCGGGCGCCAATGCCAAAAGACAAAAATTTGTAAAATCAGCAGCGACGTTTGCGACGCCAAAAAGCAAGAAAATGAAATGCGCAAATGGCGCATTTGTTGAGCACAGGGGGGGGGGGGGGGGAATGAAAAGCAAAGCAGAGGCAGGCTCATTCGAATTTCAAATGCTGCCAAGGAGCACTTGAGCAGGACACGGACCGGACATGGAAACGGCCACATGCGATGTCCGTGTGTCCATTTCGGGTCCTTCATGTTATGCAGCCTGCATTCAGCTCGCATGCGAAAAATTATGTTAAAACAATAAAAATATTTGTCAATTTAATGCGATTGCGCTAATAGAGCCAAATATTATTTTTGTATCAATTATCCAGGTTATCGAAATACGCATAGAAAGCGATGCTGGGCTGGGCGGGTAAAAAAACGAAAGACTGAAAGCTAGAAAGAGACCAAAGCTGGATAATCAAAGACTGAAAGTTAGAAAGAGACCAAAGCTGGATAATCATATCGTTTTCTATGCTGCAGCTGTGTGTGTGTGTGTCCGTGTATTTTTTATGAGCTGCCAATTTATTGAATGCAAATGAAATTAATTATACTTTTAAATTATCACAATATATTCAAGTCCTACACACACACACACACATGCAAATAACCAAACAGAACCGTGGGAGATTCGCCCGTTCGACTCGGTCTGAAACTCAACGCATGACACACACACACACACACATACTCTCTCACACATACACTTGCCCAAATAAACATATAAAATTTACTTTAAAGCTGACAAAGTCAATAAATATTGTTGTACGAAAAAATATTGTTTCAATAAGCAAAAAACCAAATACAATTTTTTCTTCTTCCAATGTGCTCTGCTAAAAAAATTGCCTGCGCTCATAACAAAAACAACAACAACAACAAAATGTGAAGGAAAAAAAAAACGTGAGAACATGTGGGCCAGCACGTAGGCAAGGGGAAACCCCACACAAAGGGCTCTTCAGCGAGAGGGTGCAAATACAAACAACAACAACAATCGACTAGCTGATATCCTGCCAAGGGTTAATCAATTCAGACACACAATTAATTTATAATTTTTTGTACAACAAAAAAATTGTGCTGTCAATAATATGAGAAAAACAAATATCGTCATATTAATTAGCAGGCACTTCGTTTAAAGGAAGTTATATATAATATAAAAAAAAATATATATAAAAGTTATATATTATAAATCCCAATTACATATTATATTATATTTTAAGCACACTTATTATCAGGCAGGCGGCTTTTGGGGATAATTATAATAAGAAATATTAATATATGGCAAAAGATAAGGCGTGCCTTACTTATAATCAATTGAAGCTTTTACTCTTTGAATATCTGATTTATTATACAATTTTAAATATCGGGAATACTGTGTTCTAATGATAGTTTTATGTCTATATCCTATACTTATAAAAAATAATCATAATAATAATAAATTATAATAATTTTATCTTGAACATAGGGAATGCTGGGTTCCAATCATATTTTTATAACGATATCCTAGCTTTATAATATCCTTTACTTATGTATATATTATTATTATTTATTTTATTTAATTTTGAATATCCTATCCTATTTAATTTTTAATATATATTTATAATAATTATACTAATAATGTAAATAACAAGAAATGAATAACAATATTTATAATTAGTCGTTGTTAACCTAATTTGAAGAGTCTTAAAGAACTATATTTTGACTCTTCCGCCTTTGTCTACTATTGCAAAGTATTTAAGAAAAGGCCAGCCTAATAACCCACCTTACCCACAAAGCAAACCTGCTTTATGCAAAATAAAACACGTTATAAATTAACAATGAACGTAGCAAAAGATGTTGCCAACCCGCAACCTTTAGCTGAAATCGAAAAGGCAAAAACCTTATGCGAAAACCCAAGTCACAGCTAGCGCAGGGAGAGCCACCCACATTTTTGGGTCGCCAGTCGAGCCTGGGAACTTGTCTGCACCTGGGAGGCCAGGTGCTGCGATAAATGTTGCTCCTCCACTCTGGCCGGCCGGCCAGAGGATGTGCGAGAGCGAGTGCGCTAGGCCTTGCCTAGGCCGCATTTTAAGCATTAGTTTGAACAACATAAACACTGGCAACTGGCAACGAGGCAGTGTCTCTCTGGCACAGGCGGCACAGAAGGAAAGAACAACTATTTCCAACCTCCACTTGCCCAAAAAGACAAGCCTCAAATTCATCCCAAGCCCTGGGTGAAAAAGTGCCACTTTACAGGGGCGAAAGGCGGTCGTACGTACAAAATCATGAATGGCGGCCACCTCGCGCGTTCTCTCAGCTAGTGTGTGCGAGTGTGTGTGTGTGTGTGTGAGAGAGTATCTGTGTGTGCGCATAGCTGTAGGTCTTCACTTACTGACTGCTGCTGCAAACAGAACGTGCTGCCGTCGGTGGTTGGTCACAAATACACACATATATACGGAATACACACACGCACACACACACGCACTTGCCTGTTCGTGCTGTAGATTCAGATACAGTTACAGATACAGATACACACTGTGTTGGAGCGCTGCCGCTCTGTTGACGCTTGCGTCGCAGTCGCAGTCGCTGCCGCTGCCGAGATTCGTTGCTGCCGCCGCGTCGCATTGACTCGAGCTATATGTTATTTCAGTTACACAGATTCAGTATCAGACGTGTTACTAGCCCGAACGGTTCTTCGCCTGCGCTGCGTTGTGCCTGCACGTCCGATGCGATACAGATACAGATACAGATGCAGATACACACGCACACACACAGCTATACTTGATACAGCCACAACTTGTTTAAGCAAATATTATTAGAACAAATAATAAACGCGCCGCCGCAGCAGCAGCAGCAGCAAAAAAAAAAAGAAAAGAAAACCTCTGTGAAGTGCGCCAAACAAAACAAGAAAAAAGCAAAGAAAAAGTATCTGTAAGATACTTCCGAAAGTTGTTGTGCCCGACAAAACAGCAAGTGGCGGCTCCGTCCGCAAAATTGAACTGAATTAACTTTAACATTAACTATAATCCCCGATATACGATATAATGCACACGCTGTTCAGTGATCAGAACTCGTTCTCCCGCCATTATGCCCAGACGGCCGCCGGCTACACATCCGCCTCGGCGGTGGCAGCGGCCAGCAGCGCCTCGGCGGCGGCGGCGGCACATTATGCCTACGATCAGTATTCGCGTTATCCGTACTCGGCCAGCGCCTACGGCTTGGGTGCACCGCATCAGAACAAGGAGATTGTGAAGCCGCCGTACTCGTATATCGCACTGATTGCGATGGCCATACAGAATGCCTCCGACAAGAAGGTGACACTGAATGGCATCTATCAGTACATTATGGAGAGATTTCCGTATTATCGGGACAACAAGCAGGGCTGGCAGAACTCGATACGGCACAATCTCAGCCTGAACGAGTGCTTCGTGAAGGTGGCGCGCGATGATAAGAAGCCGGGCAAGGGCTCCTATTGGACGCTGGATCCGGACTCGTACAACATGTTCGACAATGGCTCGTTTCTGCGGCGACGTCGTCGCTTCAAGAAGAAGGACGTGATGCGGGAGAAGGAGGAGGCCATCAAGCGACAGGCTATGATGAACGAAAAACTGGCCGAGATGAAGCCGCTGAAGCTGATGACCAATGGGATACTGGATGCCAAGCACATGGCCGCGCATGCGGCGCACTTCAAGAAGGAGCCACTGATGGACTTGGGCTGCCTCAGCGGCAAGGATGTGTCGCATGCGGCCATGCTCAACTCCTGCCACGACAGCCTGGCGCAAATGAACCACTTGACGGGCGGCGTGGAGCATGCCGGCTTCACCGTCGACTCCCTGATGAACGTCTACAATCCGCGCATCCATCACAGCGCCTATCCGTATCATTTGAACGATGACAATCTGACGGTGGCCAGCAGTCAGATGCATCATGCCCATCATGCCGCCGCTGCCCATCATGCCCAGCAGCTGCGTCACGTTGCCCACGTTTCGCATCCCCTCACCCCCGGCAATGGCAGCGGTGTCCAATCCTCGGGCGCCTCACCCACCACGATCTCAACGCCGCATGGACCGGCGCACGGTGGCTGGTATACGCCGGAGACGCCGCCATCGGAGCCCATCACGAATGGTGCTGGCCAAGGCGGCACGCCCACACATCCCAGCAACAACAACAACAACAACAATAACAACAACAGCATGCACAACAACAACAACAACAACAACAATAATAATAACAACAACCATCCGGCTATCTCCGCCTCGGTGCTGACCAGCAGCCCCAGCTCGGCGCTGGGCTTCCGCGACATGATCTTCGAGCAGAACCAATCCTGCCAGCTGGACACGGGCAGCCCGACGGGCAGCATACAATCGGCCAGTCCGCCGGCCTCGGCCAGCGTCGCAGCTGCCTCCGCTGCCGCCGCCGCGGCCGTCATCAATAGCCATCATCATCATCATCATCATGTGCCGCACCTGAGCGGGAATCTGGGCAATCTCGGCCAGCTGAGCAATCTGAGTCATTATCGGCCGCATGTGGGTCACTATCAGGAGTATGGCATCAAGTATGGCGTCTAAGGCGGCCCTGTGCCCAGGGGGCGTGCCAGCTGTGCTCTCTTGTATATTCCTGTAAATATATTTCCAAGCACGACTCACAGCAGCAGCAGCAGCAGCAGAAAGTATCTCAATGTCAATGAATTTATTATTGTTTTTCGAACTGTTTTTTGTATTTATGTTTTGTTGCCCGATTCAGAAGAAGTTCTTTGGCAAATTGCGTATACGAAGTGTGGGCCAAGCGAGCGAGTATTTAGTTGTTAATTTTATACAATCTAATAGCATTAAACACTAATATTAATACCTACAATTAACTACAATTAACTACTTATTAATAATTGTTATCAACTTTAGGGCGTAGTTATGTCTGGTATGCAATTTGTGATGAGTTTTTGCAAAAGATGCGAACAATTTTCATTTCCCCGTAGCGACGTTTTTTTCATATACGAAAATGAGAAAATGAGAATTACATTTAATGAAGGAAAATCCTATTTAACATCATATTATATGATAGTGAATCGCTTAGTAATATTACAATTAACTAGCCTAGCCTACGTAAGCAATAATAAATTATAAATAATTATAAAAAAAACACAAACAACAACTATTATCAAATTAGCGTATAATATGAGCAAAAAGTGTATTTAACGAAAAAGCAAAAAAAAAAATATGTTAAAATATCAAAAAAAAAAAAAAAAAAAATTATTGCGAGTTTCATTTCCATCTACGCCAGAATCAAAGTTGCACTTCCACATGGCATTGCTCGAAAAACAGACTTTCCGATGAAATCGATACGCATATACGCAAATTCCGCCGCAACACCGGTTGGCTGATAAATAAAATCAGACTCGGATATTGAATGACCACCAACGGGAAGAAGGAGAGGAAGAAGAAGCCTTTCATTAGCTGAATGAATGAGTCAGGCAACTGAATTATTATAGAAATATGACAATCGAATATCAGATGGACTGCACTCGGTCGTATTGCACGTGCTTCCACAATGCCCAGACAGCCGTCTATTAATGTCTAATGCTGGCCAAAAGTCCAATACGCATTGGATTGCAACACACGACACAACAACTTCTTAACGATCTATATGTCTCATCGGCAAACGCAACGTATCCAGCCTGAAATAGACCTAAGATTCATATAATAACAAATCAGGCACAGAAAGTTGACTCTGCGCTTGCAATTCTCAACAGGTTAAAGCTTACAAGGGGGACAAAGCGTTTGCATATGTTGGAACTGGGGGGTTCTTGAGATATCTATTCAGACAACCTGTTCATTTATTTGTGTTTATATCTTGTTGTTTATTGTTTATAATAAATATTATAACCAACATTGACCTCCAGCTGGGTAGCTTTATATTATTATCAAATAAATACTGTCCTAAGTAACACGATTTCTTATGAATTACTTTTGAATATTTGACTATATTCAGTAATCCTTAAATTTATAGATATACAAATATTTATGTATATTTCTACAAGTTGTTTTCTTAAATCAAGATCAAAAATATATATATCCTACCTGTCATGTTATAGCCAAAATTGCCAGGCGATTCTTGGCAAATAAAAATACAAAAAAAACAAATCTGTAATAATACATCAAGTCTTTGAACCGGTTCGAAATATATTTCAAAATGGTTCCAGAGTGGGCAGATGAGCTCTTTCTATAAAACTGAAACATAAAAAAGACATTCTAATGTTAAGCAGGAGAGATTAAAACTTGATGCCAACCTAAAGCTAAATTATTCAAAAGATATTCAAAACTAAATTCTATGTAATGATTCTAATATATGAAATGACTCTACGTCTAAAACTAGCTCAGAAAAGCTTTGATTTTAGTTTAAGAAGAACAAGTTCCGCTCCTCAGTTAAAGAGAAAGACAAGACCCAAAGCTAGTCTGAGAACAATTCAGCTCAGAGTAGTTCGTACTGGAAAATTGTTCAAATTGTCAGTTTAATGTTAACAATAAAAAACCTTACAAAGCTAAAAAGCATTTCCTAAATGCTGCTGCGCCATAGGAAATGCTTAGCTTTCACTTGAGTTGGGCTTTTCAGTTGCCCAACAATTGGCAGTAAATTATAAATCTTTAGTTAAAATAACTCACAAGAAATGCCACTAACTAAGCCTATGCCACGCCCCTAATTGCCAAACAATTGCAGTTAATTGGTAGAAAGTAAAACACAAAAGTCGAATTTCCAATGCGTAACGCTAATGATGGGTGCAAAAAAAAAATAAAAACGTGGGGAAAAAAAGATTGTAGAGGACAGCTTATTAGCCGAATCGTCGAACCAGTTACCCAACCAATTCATGGAGCGATCCATCAAACGATCTCTCGACTGATTAACTGGCAAAAAATGAGAAAAAAAATCAAATAAAAATTACCTGTGGCTGCTGCCTGTCAAGATCGCTGATGATGTTGTTGGGCAAAGCGTGGAGATTGTTGTCATGGTCTACTCTGGTGTCTGCGCCTCCATTATGCGGTTGTCATGTCCGAGCCATTGTCACTTGAGAAACCCGCCTGGCGCCATGGCGGCATTGAGATTGCGATGACCACGACTTCGATCACGGCGACGATATCGATGTGGGCTAAACTATGCTCAGGTGTCGCTTCAGCTGAAGCACGAGCTTGTCTAAGGGCCATTTGGCCTATTGTTTTCAATGGCGTACAGCGTCTTGAGACAGGCCATGCCCCAGTCTCCCTCTCTCTCTCTCTCTCTCTCTCTGGGTGGGCACAGTCATCACACGAATGAGCGCTCAAGTGCGAACCAAAAGTGTGCCAAAGCTAGAGGCTCTGGATATAGGCCTACAAAACGAGCTCAATGCGAACCACACTGTGCAGCATAGGCTATTAAAATTTGGAATAGATTAAGTTTATAAGGCAAAGAGATACTGGGTACGCTCTTTGAGGACCCTCACTTAAAAGTATAATGTGTGCATGTTAAGCAGCTGTTAACTAACATATGTAGATTAACAGATCTCTGACTGATCGCTGACTGTCAAAGATATATGATATTTTTGTAGGCAAAGAACTGCTAAGGATCTAGGATCCTCTTAGTCTAGGCCTCCTATGTGAGCTCAAGTTTCTGCTTCATGACAAGTACACTTATTTGCATTCTTTCATACAAGAAACCGATGTTCGGTTGATCGTTTCTCTGGCAGCTATATGTCGTACCATATGAACTATGCAAAGTCTTATCAGAATGGCTTAAAAAAAAGACAAACAGGCAATTGGAAAGTCAGGCATGGCCTTGGAGCTTGGCTATTCTGGCTGATCGGGAATATATATATTCAGTAGGATCTCAGATGTGATATATGTAATAACCACTGCTAGGTTATAAAAAGTATAGTGTGCTCTGCAGTGTAAATGCATTGGGGCTCACTCATAATGGCTGTAGAAATCTAGATCGTGCATACGATTTCTTTCTGTGCATCTCTCTCTTTCACACACTCTCTCGCTCTATCTCTATTTCGCTCTCGCTGCTCTGAACTTGTGCTTGGCATGCAAATTCGGTTGAATTCAGTTTTTCGGCTGCTGCGATTGCTGCGTTGACAAAGCCGCGCCGGGCATGAGTCCATTCGGTGTCAAAAGCAACAAAATTAAACGCGAAAACAACAAATCGAAAGAAAAAGAGAGAAAAAAAGAGAAACAGAAATCGCTCGAAAATGAAAAATATGCCCAGAGCAGCCGTCGCGAGCTGCGGAGCTGCGGATCTGCGGCAGATTGCGCGGGTGGTCCAAGCGGAGGACAAGAATAACAAAGCGCTGGCGACAACAGCAAAATGCTGCACTGTTTGCTTAGCGATAAGGACACACACACATGCACGCACACACATACACAAGCGCACGCACGCACACACGCACACGCAGATGCAGATGCAGAACAACAACAATGCTGGGCATTTGTATATGTACATACATATATGCGTAGCTGTAATCAAATCATTGACAGAGCGCGGCCCAAAAACGGGCAAGCATAAATATTGACAGCTGCTGCTGTCTGCGCTCGTCCTGGAGCTAGGCCCGATTTACATAAATATTATTGCAAGCCTAATTAAATGCAAGTATTAGCTGGCGCTATTCGCACCGCCTCCTACGCCCAACACCCCCCACGCCCCCACACTCACGCTGCCCAACAGCTGCACGGGGAATAACTGTGAATTTGTTTGCTTCGCTCGCCGAGCAGCTCCTTTGTAATTTGCACGTTTCTCTCGCGTTTGCCTGCGCAACGTCCCCCCCACGCCTCCCCCTCCACACTGGTGTCTCTCCCGCTCTTTCTGTCGCCGTCTCGCTCTTGCTGGCCATATTTATTTACCTGACCAGTTGTGTTGATGACCTGTTATCATTGCGCCGTTATAACAATAAATTCTACTGCCATCGCCTGGCGACGACGATGACAACAGAAGCGTGTAATATTGCTGTCCTTGTTGTTCTTGTTGCTCCTCTCGTTGTTGCTGTTGTTGTTGTTTGTCTTGCGCGGTTTTGCTGTTGTTTTGGCAGCTGTCGTTGCAATTAACCAGGCTATAATAGAGACACGCGGACTCTAAAGTAAATTTATATTGCGCAATATGAAAATATAGTTGAAAATATATACGCCATAGCTCAACTATTGCACATATAAAGTTTCTAGCAGGTATTGCCCAGCTTTGCTCGGGCCTAGACAAATTTTATATAATACTTTTCCACCCGTAGTCCGCCCGTTAGAAATTTTATTAAAGTCAAAAATTGCACTTTCGCTTTGATCCGTATTTTCCCACCAAAAGGTGTGGAACTTTACGAAATTCGTAAAATATATGAAACACGACGCTTTCACAAATATCCTTAACATTAAGCTTAAAGCACATTGGTTGGTAAGCAAAAACTTTTTCATATAACTCTTTTCCACCAATTTTCCAGAGTTGCGTGTGGAATTACGAATATTTATTAAGCACTTAGTCTTTAAGTTCTATTGTGATGCTATGAAAATAGGTTTCTTTTCGCACAAAATTCGAAATTTCGCTTACCCCCATTTTCAACCCCAAAGGAATGGATTTTGCGAATAGTGTAAAAACCTTCCCAAAGTAATTTTCCCCCATCCAATCATTGCCTTTTCTCATATTCCCTGATAATACGGCAAAGTGTTTAGCCTGCAATTCAATTCTTTTAACATTCAAGATCAAAGCCCCAAAATTATACACTTAAGATCCTGCTCCAACTTTGTGGCGATCATTGAACAACAGCAACAACAACAAAGGCAACAAATAATACTTGATATCCCATACGAATGCATACAGTAAACTTCCGCTGCCCTTTGTCAGCTATAGAGTCCATAAAGCTATGGACGAGTTTTAGTGTCTGCGCTGCTGAACAACAACACCAACAGCAACAACAACAACAGCAACAACAACAACAGCAACAATAGCTACCCACAACACCAACAAAAACAACAACTGCATTTTTATGGCATTAAACAAACTTTGAGAGCGAATGTTTTCGAACACTTTTGAAGTTTTATTGAGTTATAAATACGCAAAATGGCTTTGGAGTTGCCTCGCCCCAAGGCGAACTAAACTCGGCAATTTTCAAATTAAATTTATGATCGATTTATGCCA